AAAAATATGACGCTACATCATACCATAGTGTTGTTCTCATGGGGCATTCAGTTCCATATTTTGAGGGAAGAACCCTGGGCTGTTGAGGGCACCCTAACATACACTTAATCATTATTTGCGTTTTCAGACCCAGAAACCACCTCCCCTCTAAATAAATTCACGCTTGACTCAAATTTTGGTTTTTGGCAGAATTTAGGCCACAACTTTATTGATTACAGAAAGTGACTGGTTGCATAGGCTCTGGTTCAACTAGCTCCCTGCCATGCAGGTAGAGCTGACCCAGGGATCCAGCATAGGTCAGCCAAGGGTGAACACCTGGATAAGTGGAAAGCCGGGAACAGGCTATCTCCGCCACACAAATGTCCCCCTGGACTCAGGCACAGGCACAACCCCCTCTCAGGGGTTGACCAAACCATTGAGTCCCTGGAATCATTTAACGGAATACCCTTCACATAGGGATGGCCAGAGCGTTCTCCCATCCCTATCACCTGAACCAGAGCCTATCCACCACACAAGCACCCATGCTCGCCGCCAACCAATCACACTTGTAACCAATCTCTTAACCCCGCTGACACTGCGGTCAGCCATAAATCATTCCCAATCACAGAGAGATGGATCCCATCAAGCCTGTAAAGGGGCGCATCTTGGAAGGTAATGCCCAGGTGACGGATCACCATCCCGCCCAGGGCCAGAACCTTCTTGGCCACTGCGCTCTGGATGCACCTTCTGGCCCTCTCATTGGCAGCTAAATCGCTCTCTCTTGGCTCACAGAGGACACACTGTTGGTGTTTCAAATGCACGTGCCGAAAGAGGAAGCTCTGGGTCACATGCGTTGGTATAAATAGGTCCCTCGAACAGTGGCGTAGCGTGGGGGGTGCAGGGGGGGCCGGCCGCACCAGGCGCAACATCTGGGGTTAGGGCAAATCCATTGGTTAGGGGGCGCAAATCCACGGGTTTAGGGGGCGCAAATCCATGGGTTAGGTGGCGCAAATTACTTGCCTTGCCCCGGGTGCTGACAACCCACGCTACGCCACTGCCCTCGAACCATTTGGACTGTGTCCCATTGGCCAGATTGCACCCAGCAATGAAGGACCTACCAATCGGGTGTTGTGGCTGACCAATCATACCCACCCACAACACAGGGTGTTGGTTTCCAGGTCTCACCGCAATATGTGCCCTCTTTAAGGGAGGACCCAATTTATCATAATATTAGCAAATCACCTGTTCATATAAAATATGTTAAAGTGGTATACAACAATGTATACAAAATCAATGGAGTATAAAATACCATAAAAACATAGGCTCATCTAAAAATAAATAAATAAATGACTGAATAGGCCTCTCAGCATAAAAAGGAATTGAGCAGTAAGGATCATTGTTGGAAAAACCATTTCATAGCATTGCACCCGTGACAATAAATGACTAACTTCTATCTGAAGTTGTTATTATTATTATTATTATTATTATTATTATTATTATTATTATTATTATGAAGCAAGTCAGCCTTCAGAAACATAACAGGCAGAGGCAAAGATCCACACCTGACCTGAAAGTTTGGTGATTCCCGTCCCTTGAAAAGTAATACAATATTTTGAGGGCATTTTTACCTCTTCCCACAAAATCCAATGAAGACTTCTGTAAAGACCCCCAACTGGAAAAAAGCAAAAACAAAACATAACCCTCCCTCAACTTTATCACCTGCTAATGGGGCTATACAACCAAAGGGGGATTTTTCAAATTATTAATCAAATTTTAAAACAATTGAATCGTTTTCTTATTCACAATTTTTTTTACTGTGCATAATTTGATAGCAAATGAAAACATCCCTATATAATGCACAAGGGAAGGGGAAGGGAGAATCTTATCTGTGTTTTGCTCCTGAGAATTGCTCACATTTTTAAAGAAAATTGCAGGAGGGAAATAATACATAGTAACAGTGCACATTTGCAGTGACGTCTTTAGGTAAAGCATACAGAATATATGGTGCTCACTGTAGAACCCTGGGGATTGCTACCCCTGTGTCCTATAGTTAGGTTATGAAGCTAATCATATAGGACCACAGCTAAGCTTAAGGAAACAAAAAACCTGAAGAAAGCTTCTTCAGAAGAAACCTTCTTCAAAGAAAGCACATGGAAGCCATTTCTTCATCTCTAACTGTAATGATGTCAAGATGGTTGTAAGAAAAAGCAGAAATAATAAAGCTTTATCTAGTGGTATGTATCTGAATTAATATCTGGTTACATCAGGGGTTGTCAACCTGGTCCCAACCACCCACTAGTGGGCATTTCAGGATTCTAGGTGGGTGGTAGGGGGTTCTACGGCACAAGCTGAATCCTCCTTCCATCGAGCACTGGTGGGCAGTAAGGAAATTTTACCATCAAGAAAGATGCATTAGTAGGTATAAAAAGGTTGACTACCCCTGGGTTACATAGTGTGATAGATTGATAGGTTTAGTGGTTGTATGAATCAAGAATATTGTTGAAGTCTATGTGGGATAGAGGGAGCTCTTAATGTGAAATTAGAATGCTGTGCACAGTGCTGGTTGCCATATTTCATCAGAGAGCTGGAAAATGTATTTAAGAAAAGGGCATACAAAACAATCTTATGGGCACAAATTCCATAGAAACACTTTCATGCCTCTTGAGTCTGCTAGCAATCAATTTCATTGGATTAACCCAAGATCAAGAGAAAGAGAAAATTTAACTCTATCTACTTTCTGCACACCATTGCTAATTATAACAGCCTCCAACAAGTGCCCCAAGTCATATTTTGCTAACTAAAAACAAGGAAGCAAACTCAAATGCTTCATGGAGTTTCAGTTGCTTGATTATTTTTGTTGCCCTTTTCTGCACATTTTTCAATCGTGCGGAATCTGAAGGACGTCCTCCTATTGCCTTAACCTGCCTCAACCCTTTATTCCTCATCAGCATTATTCTCCATCCAATCCCGTCCAAACACACCCATGTGTGCATATTATCTCAGTTGGCCAGGTTTCTGTCTGACCATGAAATCCACATGTGGAAAGCTCTCCTCGGAAAAGTTTGCTTGGTTCCAAGCCTGTTTCTTTTTCTTAGGGTCTGGCAAACATTTTAGAAAACTGCACAGGCATTCTAGTTTATTTCACAGATGGATTTAATTGTATCTTTATGACTTTTCCTGAGCTTTATCTGCTGCAAGTGCTCCCACCCCAGAACCTGTACAAACCATAGGTTACTTTTATATGCAACAATGTGTGAGAATTACCCTTAAGAGTTGTTGTTGTTGTTGTTGTTGTTGTTGTTGTTGTTGTTGTTGTTTAGTCGTTTAGTCGTGTCCGACTCTTCGTGACCCCATGGACCAGAGCACGCCAGGCACCTCTGTCCTCCACTACTTCCCGCAGTTTGGTCAGTTAATAATAATAATAATAATAATAATAATAATAATAATAATAATAATAATTTATATCCCGCCGGGCCCAGAGCAGATAACAACAGTAAAATGATACAACATTCTAAAATCATTTCATTATAAAATCAGTTCAAATCAGATTAATGGCAACCATTGGGCAAGAGTTCTGCAGCATACCAGGGGAGGCGGTCCTGTAGGTACGAGGGCTTTGAAGGTTAAAACCAGCACCTTAAACCCAATCCTGTACTCCACCGGGAGCCAGTGCAGCTGGTATAGCACTGGGTGAATGTGATCCCGCAGCGAGGACCCCGCAAGAAGTCTCGCCGCGGCATTCTGCACCCGCTGGAGTTTCTGGGTCAGTCTCAAGGGCAGCCCCATGTAGAGCAAGTTACAATAATCCAGTCTGGAGGTGACCGTTGCGTGGATCACAGTGGCTAGGTCAGGGCACGAGAGGTAAGGAGCCAACTGCTTAGCTCGCTGGAGATGAAAAAATGTCGCCTTTATTATAGCTGCAATCTGCGTCTCCATGGAAAGGGAAGTGTCAAGATTAAACACAAACTTTTAACGGACGGTGCTGGCACTAATTGCGCCCCTGCAAGAGATGGGAGCTGCGCCCCCATCCCATATCATCTCGACCCAGCCAAAGGACCTCTGTCTTCAAAGGATTTAACTTCAACAGGCTCCCATGTAACCATCCAGCCACAGCTTTCAAACATCTGATCAGTGTGTCTGGGGCTGAGTCAGGATGGCCATCCATCAACAGATAGAGTTGGGTGTCATCAGCATACTAATGGCAGCCCAACCCAAAACTCCGGACAAGCTGGGCGAGGGGGCACATAAAGATGTTGAAAAGCATCGGGGAGACTATCGCACCCTGCGGCACTCCACACACCAAGGAGTGGCGCCACGACAGTTTCCCCCCCAAGCGCCACCCTCTGTCCCCGACCAGAGAGAAACGAGCGCAGCCATTGAAGGAATGTGCCCTGGATCCCCACATCAGCGAGGCGGGGGTCCAGGAGTTCGTGATTGACCATGTTGAAGGCTGCTGACAGGTCTAAAAAAATCAGCAGCCCCGACCCACCTTGATCCAGCTGCCTACGGAGATCATCTGTTAGGGCGACCAGAGTCGTCTCGGTCCCATGACCAGAGCGGAAGCTGGATTGGAATGGGTCCTTTGGTGATGTTAATCAAGGAGTTTTCAAAACTGCTTTTATGGTTGCATTGTTCTTATTTATTGGTTTTATTATTCTAAATTACACATCACCTTTGGAGTCTTCCACTGTAGTTTATACATTCACAAAAAATGCCCCCCCCCTTTGACTCACATTTCCCCCACAGCTATTGCATGCTGAGTCAATGTTTTCTTCATGACACATATCTCAGCTATGATGGTAGATTATTTCCTGGTTAGTCACTGCCAGCTTAGGCCCCATCGGTATATATTAATGTTAGGACTTTTTGCCCTGACGTGGATGTGACCCATGCATAAATTATCTATGTCTCCCAGTTGGACTGGGGGAAAGTTTCTTCAAATCTTACAAAACACATATAAAACACTTTTTTGTTTTTGGTTTTTTTTCTGTGCTTTCTACAGGAGGAAACACTTTGCACATATGGATAATCAAACCCACATCACTGAGTTCATCCTCTTAGGCTTCTCCAGTGATCCAAAGCTCCAGATCTTACTCTTTGCAATCTTCCTGTTGATTTATTTGATAACTCTGTCTGGCAACCTAGCCATCATTTTGGCTATAAGAATGGATGCTAATCTTCACACTCCCATGTATGTCTTCCTTTCTCATTTGGCTTCCTTTGATATTGCTTTTTCTTCTGTTACAGTTCCTAAAATGTTAGAAGACTTCCTTTCGGCCAGAAAAGCAATCACGGTTGATTGTTGTTTTACCCAGGTCTTCTTTGTCATGGCGCTTTCAGTGGGAGAGGGTCTCCTCCTCTCTGTGATGGCGTATGATCGGTACACAGCCATCTGTCACCCCTTGCATTATAACGTGATGATGAGCAAACGGGTCTGTTCGCAGCTGGTGTGCAGTGCGTTGCTCACTGGCTTTCTCTATGCTCTACTGAACACCCTTCTGCTAACAACTCTGCACTTTTGCAGGGCCAATGTAATCCATCACTTCAGCTGTGAAGCCCCACAACTGTTCAAACTTTCCTGTAGCAGCACTTTTGCAAACCAAATGGTGATTTTCACCCTTGGTTCATTTTTAGGGATGGGGGCTCTCTTCATCACACTGGCTTCCTATATTCACATCATCTCCGCTGTCTTGAGGATACGCTCCATAGAAGGGAAACGCAAGGCTTTTTCCACTTGCACATCTCACGTGACAGTTGTTGTGCTGTACTATGGAACAATTTTCTTCAGGTACTTGAAGCCAACCTCAAAGAACTCTCAGGATCAGGAAATGGCTCCCTCTGTCATTTACTTTATTGTGATACCCATGTTAAACCCCATCATCTACAGCCTCCGTAACCAAGAAGTGAAGAGAGCGCTACACAATATGGTGTGCAGAAAATTTAACAAATGAAGATATTTAATTCTTTTTCAAAGTTCATGTAGTTGGTGTTTTCAAATGACAAACTGGCATTTGCTCACCAAATGCATTTTGAGAAGCACCTTCTGTCTTCTATCTGTAGTGCAGAGCATCTCCTTTGCATGCAGAAGCTCCCAGGTTCAATCCCTGGCATCACCAGGTGAGGCTGGGAGAGCCTCCAGTCTTATATGCAAAGTATACATATAAATCAATTTAAGGATGTAAACAAAAATGCATTATTGCACAGGGAAATGCTTTGCGGGGAGGGGGAATAAGTCTGTATTTGAGAAAATCACATATAACAATTATATGGGGAGAGATTTATGCTATCATGCTGGTGAATTTTCATGAGGCACTGTTGTTGTTTTTCCATCAAAAACTGATGTGACTATCTGGATAACAAAATCAAAGTTTGGGGGAAAATGAGAAACTGGTAGAAACTGAATTTTATGTATTCCCTCATTCCTAGCTGCTAGTGAAGGTATAAAATACTAAACTAGATTAAACTCCCTTGCACATAATCTGATTATGAATGAGAAGTGTTATCTACTCTGTCAGTGAGATCTGGGTGGGTGAGCAGGGTGGAGTTAGTCTTACTGAGCTGCGACCCCCTGGGTACTCAGTGCAGCTTCAGGGTTGGGGAAGGGGAGTTGCTGTAGTCTATAGAGATTCCATCTCTCCCACCAGGCTCCCTGTCCAGTTTAGGAGCAGGCAGGGGGAACCTAGCATGTGTGTTCCTGATATTGGGCAATTAGGACAGATTATGGATTATGCTGGTTTACTGGCCAACTCACTGCCCAGCAGTTTTCCTGCCTGTGCTGACAAAGCTGGTCTCAGAGGTGGTGTTGAGTTCTGCTGGTTCTGGGGGACTTTAACATCCATGACGAGGCAGCTGGCTCTGTAGTGGCTCAGGACTTAATGGCTGCTATGATGACGATGGGACTGTCCCAACATGTCACTTGCCCAACACAAGTGGCAGGCCACACTCTGGACCTTTTTGGTCAACTGGGCAGCTAGAGGGAGATCTAAAAGTGGGGAACATTGACATCAGTCCCTTGCCATGGTCAGATCATTTCCTGTTGAGCCTTAGGCTTCCTGCACATTTTCCCCTTTGCATAGGCGGAGGACCTAAATGGATGGACTGCCCTCAGAGGCCAGTGGATCCAGTAGGCTTCCAGATGAGACTGGGGGATTTTCTGGCTGATATGACTGGCACTACTGTTGAAATCCTGGCCAACCTCTGGAATATCGGGCCATTGACACAATCATTCCTGAGCACCCGCTTCCTATTATACTCCAGAGTTTAGGGCAAGGAAACAAGCTGGGAGATGGCTCTCATGCAAGGGGAGGAAAGATCTGGCTGAATGCAAGATGGTGTGAGCATATTACACTGATTCTGGCCCAACTGCACTGGCTGCTTATTAGTTTCTGGGCCGAATTCTAAGTGCTGGTTTTGACCTATAAACCTTAAATGGTTCAGGATTGCAATACCTCAAGGACCACCTCTCCCCCATGAACTGACCTGGACCCTATTATAGTCATCTGAGGCCCTTTTTCATGCACCTTCTCCATGAGGGTGTCAAGGCAAGAATGGGCCTTTTCTTTGGTGGTTACCCATTTGTGGAATTTTGCATCAGAAAAATACTATATAAGCAGATAAAACCAACACCCAACACCCACTGACAGGAACAGTGAATTCATTTCTCCTTCAGCCTATTTTTGTTTCATGCCCGTTTCAAATGTGCTCTACCATAGGTCTGTCCAGTCCTAGATTTTGTGGATGCTTTTTAAGTGTTTTTATGTACACATGCGCGCATTCACACATACACAAATACAGTTTGTACACACTTTCCTCTAAAGTATTTATTTTGTATACACCCTCTCACTAAAATACACATTTTTGTATGCTTTAAAAAACAAACAAACCTGAGACTGTATTTCTAAATTTAGAGAAGTACATAACTCGCTTGATAGATGTTTACAAGTCTGGGACCAGCAAAAGCCTCTTTGTTTTAAACTGCAGATGGAACAATTCCCCCCTCCATTTCTTTTCCTATTAGATCTGTCCGTACCATGTTCAGAAATTACAGAAAGAGGCTCCTACTTAAGCTTCAGCAGGAGAAGCACACAGGGAAGAACATGCTCATAGCACAATAAGAATCTAGATAAAGGAGCTATGCTCATCCCTAACACAATAGAACTTAATCATGTTCCTGACATGATGCAAGTGACAAGAACTAATTCTAGATAATAATAAAAAGAAAAAGTGGTTGGCTATGCTATTCAGGTCTGTAGATGGTGGGCAAAGGGTTACAACTTACCCTTTTCCCATCACGTAAAAATGAACATGTATGTGTTCATTGTCATCAACTTTTGAATATTTATTTGGTTCTTATCAAAATAGAAATTGATTATTTAATCTTCACTAAAGGAAGGATATTTGGGCTTTCTGCCTCAGGCATCAAAATAAATTGGGAGAAAAAATGTTATCTAAGAATGCTTTTTCACACATATCATACTCTCCAATGCAACATGGCCCCAAACTGGGACATCTCCTGGGTCTGCACTCCTGCTTCAGTCATGGACCTGGAAAAATTATTATTTTCAGGCACAGCATCCCAAAATGCACATTTTGGAGCACTGTGTGAGATCATGGACCTGAAAAACACACATTTGGGGGCACTGTGTGAGATTGTAGACTAGAAAAAATGTTGTTTGGCTGGAGGAGATCTCTGCTCTAAATTGCGCAAGAGTGTGGCGCCCAAAATGGCCACATGGTCTTCTGGAGGAAAATGGGATGTCCCAGTTTTTCAGGGACAGTTGATGGGTATGACACTCTCTCCAACATACTTCTTCCAGCAAATGAAAATTGAAAAGGTCCAAGGATATTTCTCAATGAGAAATAAATAAATAAATCTATCTGTGCCATTCAGCATTAGTGAGGGGTGCTGAGATTTTGGGGAGGGCACTTGTGCTACAGAAAGCTTTTCTTAAAGCTCCCTTGACCTCTTGATTTCTCAGACAGTAAATGAATGGGTTCAGCATTGGAGTGACAATGGTGTATATGACAGAAACCAATTTGTTTAGATCAAAAGGGTGGATCCTCTTTGGTCTTGCATACATGAAGAGAGTGGCTGAGAAGAAGATGGTGACCACAGTGAGGTGAGCAGCACAAGTAGAGAAGGCCTTCTTCCTGCCTTGGACAGTTGGGATACGCAAAATGGTACCAATGATACACACATAGGAAACTGTTGTAACTGAGAGTGGGACCAGCAGAATTATCAATGCCAAGACAAAGTCCACTATTTCAGCCACTGTCATATCCTCACATGCCATATTTAGCAAAGGTGAAATGTCACAGAAGAAGTGGTTGATGATGTTAGGGCCACAAAAGGGTAGGCGAGATATAAATACAACCTTCAGCATTGAGGCGAAGAAGCCAGTTAGCCACGAACCCACAGCTAACTGCAAGCAAAGGCGCTGGGTCATGATGGTTGGATAGCGCAGTGGATTGCAGATGGCCACATATCTATCATATGCCATTACAGCAAGAAGGATACACTCTGTACATATGAGAGAGCTGAAAAAGTAGAGCTGTGTCATGCATCCTTCAAATGAGATGGACTTGTCTTCCACCAGGCAGTTAACCAATAGTTTTGGGACAATAACACAGATGTACCATGTCTCCAGGAAGGAGAGGTTGCTGAGGAAGAAATACATAGGTTTGTTAAGCTGAGGGTTGATTTTGATCACAACAATGATAATTGTGTTCTCCAGGAGTGTCAGGATGTAGGCCACAAGGAATATCACAAACAGAAGCACTTGCAGTTCCATGGTGGTTGGAAATCCAAGTAGGATGAATTCCCGGACAACACTCTTATTCTTATGGTCCATGGATCTACAGCAATAGAAAAGGAAATAGGAAGGATGAGAGGGAAAACAGAAAAAAATAGGCATGATGCATCCTTTTCACTTTGACATCCACAGAGCTCAACTGCCTTGTTTCGCAATTTCTTTTACTCTGAAGCTTTGTAGCTCATTCTAGAGTCTTCCAAGATTGGTTACGTTACAAAATTATTTGGAGATTCATCAGAAGAGCACTAAATTATGCTTCAGTTTTTAGCATTCTTGCCTTTAATTTCCTGAATAATTTTCAGAAAATATCTGTCTCATCTTGTTTAATTATTTTGGCCTAAATTGGTGTTTAGGGGTTGATGCTGTTAAATAGGTTGATTTGATTAATTTTGTTTCATGGTTAAGTTGGTCACATTGTTGACAGGGAGGTGCAGGAAAGGTCAAGGTTAGATAAGGTATCAGGTGAGCACCCCTGGGCACCTTTGACCATGAAGGGCATTTGCAGAGGCCAGTTGTTGTAGGTTGTGAGGCCCTTAAACTGGATGAAGCATTCTTTTAAAAAAATTAAATAGTTTTTGTTTCATTTTAATACACCACATACAAAAAGAAAATATGAAGATACACTGATATCCATCAGCTAACAACTAAGAAAGAAACAAGAAAAGAAAAATACAAAACAACAATAGCAACAATAGCAATACATTGAATGCATTGAATATTGCTCACAATACATTTAACATAGAAATGACTTTTTCCTATGTAGCTGACTTCCCGTCTACTCCTTACTTCTATTTCTCATCTGTTATTCAGTGCCATATTATAGCATATTTTGGCTTTAATGTTATTTATTCTATTCTAGGTTTGCCATCGGATTTAAAACTCCTACTGAAGTTATTCAAATGCTGCTACAGACTTCAAACTGTCATTGCTATTTTTCAAATAAATTTTAAAGACTTCCCATTTTGTGGTAAATACTTCCTTTGATTTATTTTTTATTCTTTCTGATAACTAGTCTAATTCTGCATATTCGGTCACTTTTTGAATCCACTCTGATCTAGAAGGGACTTTATCACTTTTACAATTTGTTTCAATGAGCATTCTTGCTGCAACTGTAGCATAGAGAAAAAGTTCTTTTGCTTTTTTAGGGATATCCAAATCTATGATTCCTAGCAGGTAAGCTTCTGGTTTTTTGCTGAAAGATATTTTAAACATTTTTTCCAGTTCAGAATGGATATCCTCCCAGAACACCTTGATTTCTTTACATTGCCACCACATGTCATATAGATTACCTGGTTTTTCTTTACACCTCTAACGATTGCTTGGTACACTTTTATACATTTTGGAGAGCTTCCAAGGGGTTATATACCAACAATGTTGCATTTTAAGGAAGTTCTCTCTTAAAGTGCAAGCAACTGTAAATTTCCAATCTGTTTTCCACAAATGTTCCCACTGTCTCATGGTTATTGTGTACCCAAAGCCTTGCGCCCATTTAACCATGGCTGCAGTGACCTCCTGGATATGAAACATTCTTGAAACTCACCTGCCACATCTGCACAGAGTTCTGAAGCCCAGGAGTGAGGAAGGAAGATCCCCCTACTGACCATAAGGTGTGTCCCAGTCTTTGGGGCCTAGCCTTCTTATGCCCCTTAGAATTGGCAGGGTTTGTCTCACCCAATGCTGAAGTTAGAATCCCATTCTTCTCATTTGCTCTATAGATAAAGTTTAAATAAAATGTGGCCCTAGTCCAACCCATCACTTATATCTCACTTCATTTGAAATGCTTGTTCTGTGCTTGTACCTTATTAATTTGAGATGGGCCATCAGCACAAATCTTACATGCCACTTTTGAAGGAACCTTATATTTTATATTATATTTTAAACAAAGCCTGAGGTGCTTTCAGACAGCAGATTTTCAAAACCAGTGGACCTTTGAGCACATGTCAGTAGAAGAGTAACACCTCTTAGTGGTGTTAAGTTCTACTTCTGTTTTCATCCCACAATATTATGTGTCATGTGGAAGGCAGAGGACAGATTTAACTTTAAAGCTGAAATCCTATACAAGGCTGTAGTCCCAGTCATTGGAAGTAAGTCCCAATGAATTCAGTGGGACTTATTTCTGAGTAAATCAACATAGGATTGCACTGTCAGTATCCTATTTGCACATTGTTTCTTGTAAATGTTTGTTGTTTCGTATTAAATGAGTCTTAAAAGTCTCCAGTCATGGAAGCTTAAAATTGAAGTTGAATTTTACATTACAACATAAATTATGAAGCGGCTCACAAATATAATAAATAACTTAAAAATCATGGGAATGTTCTCTCGCATTTTTTGATGGCTATATCATCACCATCAACATCATCATCAGTTTATTTATACCCCACCTTTCCCCCTGATGGGACTCAAGGCAGATTACATATAAAAACAACATCCACTAAAAATAGAAAAAAATCAAGTTAAAATATCAATTAAACATTGATAGCATTAATATATATATTTATATACATCTAAAAAATCTGTTTAACACATACCAGTAATTACACTAAAAACAGCACAGCACCTTACATGTAATAACACCTATAGAAACTCTTCTCCCAAACTCTGTTCATTAATTTTGATTGCATTTTATGGCTGCAAGTCATGAGAATTTACCAAACCTTGATTATTATTATTTAATTCTATGAAAATGCATTCTTTTTTTAAAAAAAATCACTCAAATTTGAACATGCCATACAGTTTGTCTGAGATTTGTGTTCATTAAAATATCCATCTTTCCACATTGTTAAATGTGGGACAAATAATGCATTTCCTGAAATCTAGAGGTATATTATAATTGTTGAAGAAACCATCTTCTTTCGGATATACAAAAGCTGAAACTAAGAAATGCAATGGAATGTGAAGTTCCTCGCTTCCCACCTTACTGCACGAGTTTTTTCTCTATTACTACTTGCAGATAAAATTTCTGCTATATTTCAGTAACATAACTGTTTCAGAAGTGGAAGACAAGGGGGCTTTAATTTCTGCAGTGATATGAAAAGTTGTATTTAAGGATATTAATTCCAGCAGAGAGAGATACTGATTCCTTTCCAGAGTTCTGTAGCTGAAAGATCCGCACACATCTCCCCTAAAAGAGTAGCAATCTTGCATCACATTTGAAAGCAGAGTTTGTACTATTTAGGAAATGTTTTCAAAAGCTTCACTGTGTATGCCAATATTCTTGTGCAGAGATTAATTACCTCACAGAATTGGGGCGGATTTATATGTGCATTTCCCATTTTAGCATTACTTTCCTCATCAACATCATTTAATGCATATAAAGTGGTTTACAAAGTAGAAAAACCAATTGCACAGAGATTAAAATGTGAAATACATTTCCCCTTAAACATACTTCCTTTTCAAAGTGCTAAAACTAATGCAGAACATTTCTATTTTTTAAAACAAACAAAAACCCCTGAAATACACAAAATAAGCCAGTTACATCATTTACCTGATCTACATGTGAACTTCAGTGAATATTTCATCATATGCTGGATGGTATCTTTTTGGTTAAATTTTGAGCGAGTCAAATTTCTGTTTTTCTTTTAATTTAGAGCTTCTGTGAAGACAACTTGGAACTGTGTTGGATCAAAGAAAAGCCTAATCCAACAAGAAGTTATGCTGAAAAATTTATGCAGCCTTACCAAAATCATCAGAATTCTCAGAAGAGCAATGCTGCTTGAACTGCCTTGGTGTATAAGTTATCCTGCTAACAAGGGATATCAAGGGAGCTAAATACTCAGGAACTGGCTCGTAGAATGCCTTCGCAAATGCAACTGACAGGATAATAGCTCAGAGTTATACAGTACTTTATTATTTGACTTCTACACACCATGAAATGTGTAAACAAGACGTTATTGTAATTTATACTGTTCTGAAGCATGAATGTACTTTAAGAAATTCAAACCTGTGTCCATTCACATGGTCAAAACTGTGGAAATTAAGGATTCAAGATTTTTATTCTTGATCTACAGCTCTTATTTATATAAGTTCATAAGTTCAAGGTATTTGCAGCATGTAGCCTTGTTCCCTACATCCAGGGGGCGGCGGCTCCTGAGGACCAAGTGCTCCACCCCTATATTTTTGGGGTAAGGGCCATGGCTGCCAGATGTCCTAAAAGCGCAGAGCCGAAGTGTGGAGCCAAGTGCAGCATGTCCCCAGTGGCTGGCTCCTCCTTCTTCTGCCATGGAGGGGAAGAAGGGTTGAAGCATCCTCCTGTCAGTGCTAGTGTCAAGAAGAGGCGGAGGAGGAGCTGGCCATTGATTCGTGGGACTGTCGCATTCGACTGCACCTCCCGACATCCTGACGTCATACGCATGATGTCAGGATGTCATGTCATGTGCCTGACATTGCACCCCCCCCCCATCACCCTCATAAGCTGGTGCCTCTGCCAACATCATGGCACTTTTGATTCACTGGTGGCTGGATTCTTCATGTACCAGCCACATACTTTGTATGCGATGCTCATAAAAAGATGAAGAAGGAATGTAGCAAACATGAAAAAGTGCAGAACTTTTCTAATCAATCAATGTGATGTGTTATATCAGCCCAAATATAGCATCTGAACTACCTCTGAGAAAACTGACAGGGTATATGGGATGGAAATACAAATCCCCAAACAACGTGGCTGTCAAAATGCTATTCAATTATGGTCATAGATGGGACCAGAACTGTTTGGTGAGTCACCTTTGTCCAGGGAGCGAGTAGAAATGCAAGCAAACATATAGGGTGATTTGATGAAGCACAAACACAGTGGTAGCACATAAAGTTAATGGAGTCAATACCATAATAGGCAAACTGTAGGCCAAGCTCCGTTTCTCCAAAATGATGTCTACTTCTCTATCCCACAACTTGTTTATGCCCCCTGTTTTCCTGGTGTCCTAAGTTTTAAAAAAAGGTACAGAATCTATCTCTCTCACACACACAACTTTCAACAGTTATACCACCTACAATTTCTGGTTGTCCCACCAATAAGTACGTTACAGGCAGTGACTTAAGACAGGGCCTTTCATGCTTTTATCCTGCACGCTGTGAACCACCCTGAGATCTACAGATAAAGGGTGGATATAAATTTAATATAAAAATAAATAATGATTTCTGTGGTGACACCATGGCTAAGAGACTCCCTCCTGTGAGAAATATGACTTGAGTTTCGGACATCTCTTTTCGCCAGGTTTTTTGAAGGCAGTTAATCCTTGTTGTCTGTTTGGAAACAGGGAGTGCCTTCTGCTATTGGTTTGGTGCAGATTTTAATTGTGGTTTTAATAAGCTATATTGTACTTTATAATTTTAATTATTCATCCTATGTCTGTCTTGTGGGTATTTATGATGATGGGCGGCGTGTACATTTTTTTGAATTAATTAATTAATTAAAAAGCTAGCCCTTGCTGGGGAAACCCTCTCTCCTATACTTGCTTTTGATCCTGTGGGGAGCTGTTTACAGCCATCTATCTGGCTATGCCTCATTCTGAGTCTCATGGCCACTGGACTCCATGCTACCTCCTGCTAGGATACCTGTAATGTTACCAGAGCTTCTTCGCCACCATGAAAAGGGAAGGGGAGGGGAGGGGAGGAATACACACTGTGGTGGGAAGCTTTTCCTGTCCAACAAAGTACAGTAAGGAACCACACTATCAATACTTTGTTATAACAACCTCTCAGTCTTCTCAGTGAAGAAGTTACATTAAGTACCACACTTTTCCGTGTATAAGACGAGGTGTTTTTTTACAGTAAAATAATGTTAAAAACCGTGCCTCATCTTATACACGGATAGCAAATGGGGGATGGGTGACTGCTTGTAGCTGCGAGCAGGAGCTTGTCAGCGGCAATTTGGTGGGCAATTGGTGGCTGCTTCAAGGGCTGCTTTGGATTGGCAGCTGCTATGCTAATTGAGTGGGTGATTGGTTGCTTCAGCAAAGGCTGTAGTGGATTGGCTGTTGCTGCAGTTCGTTGACGTGATCAATTGGCAGCAGCCTGCGTTTAGTGATTTTCGGCATTACCCCCCCCCCCAAAAAAAAAGCTCAGCAACTCCAGGCAAGCCTTCCCCCAAAAACCTCAGGACAACTCTGGACCATTTCCCCCCATTTTCTTAAATTAGACTTCACGTGTTATATGTGTGAATAGAAAAAACACCATTAGATGTACTGCTAGATAAGCTTTTTTATATTTGTAATTGTTAAAAAAAATGTTTTAAAAGAAAACTATCATCATCATCTCACCTTTTCCCAGTCTAGGATTCAATATGGCTTATACATATGAAAACAGCACAGTAAAATACAGAAGGCTAAAAACAGATGAATATTAATGACAAATACTAAAGCACTTTAAAACTTTTTTAAAAACACACACCATCATTTCAGATTTGGAAATTAAGTGTCATCAAATGAACTCATTGAAGCATATTTCTACACTTAACATTTGAAAACAATGATACATTACTTCAAGGAAAACAACCAAATGAATGATATTTATAAATTGAAATTTCTTATTTTCCTTCCCCTTTTAATATACACATTTTAACATTAGTGAATATTATTAGTGATTATCCAGCATAATTTCAGAATTAAACTTGAAATTGTCACATATCAGATTAAAATTTGTTATTCCATACATATAGACTATATTATCACTACCACTGCCGCCACCACCACAATTATTTCAAGTGTATAACCTGCCCTTCCTACCCAAAGTGAGTCCAGGGCAACTAAGAAACAAAACCATATATATATATATATAGTAATTTGTAATGTTGTAATAATTTGTAATTTTTAATTTTGTAATATATATATATATATATATATATATAAAAACACAAAATTAAAAGAGCATTCTATATAGCAGACAATAGTAGCAGTGTAAAACATTCATAAAACTATGTTTCAAACTCTGGAAAATTAAAAACTTAATTTAAACAAAATTAGAAACAGAAAGAAAATGTGCAAGCATAATACGTTAAGTTGAATTTGCTTTAAAATGTACATTTTCTGTCTTGTTCCCAATTATGGTAAGAGGTAAAAAGGAGATTTTTTTTATTTAAAAAAATCATTTCAAAACTGAGTCAAGTAGTCAGTGTCAAAGACGAATTCCATATAAAATTGTGTGCTTCCACATTTTTGTTCATTCTTTGACAGCAATCACTATTTCCCTGTGCACATTTTCATCAGCCCTCTGACTCCAAGCCAAATTTACTAGTGTATGAATTGGATAATGTGCTTCTGGCCATGCAGCATTTTGAATCACTGTGAGCAAGTGTTCACATTAGAGAGATTATCATAAAGAGGAGGATCAAAGGGTCTGACTGGAGGTCTGGTCTGTATTTGTGAGTCATTTCTTATATTTGAGAATATAAGGGATTCTTTTCTGTCTGGTGTGAGTCTAATGGTCACTGGCGGTAACCGTGGTTTCAGCATTCCTGCTACAAAATATCCTTTTCATGGCTTCCTTCACATCTTGATTCCTGAGGCAGTAAATGCATGGATTCAACATCGGGGTGACAATAGTGTATACAATGGACACGAGCTTATTGAGATTAAAAGAATGGATTCTTCTTGGTCGGGCATACATGAAGAGAGTGGCTGAGTAGAAAATAATAACCACAGTGAGGTGTGAGGCACAGGTGGAAAAGGCTTTTCTTTTCCCCTTGGCTGTGGGGATACGCAAAATGGTGCCTATTATGCACACATAGGAACCAATAGTGACAGACAGTGGGATTATGAGGATAAGGAGGGCAAATACAAAGTCCACCATCTCAGCTACAGTTCTGTCCGTGCAGGAGAGGTTCAGCAGAGGTGAGATGTCACAGAAGAAATGGTTGATGATGTTGGGTCCACAGAAACTCAAGCGGGAAATGAAGAAGACTTTCAGCATTGAGATTAGGAAACCAGCAAGCCAAGATCCCACAGCTAACTGCAAACAGAGCCGGGAATTCATAATGACTGGGTAGCGCAGTGGGTTGCAGATGGCGATGTAGCGATCATAAGCCATGACAGCCAAGAGGACACACTCAGTGCAGACTAGGGATATGAAAAAGTAGAGCTGGGCCATGCAGCCTTCAAAGGAAATGCTTTTGTTCTTTGCTAGGAAGTTAACCAGGAGCTTGGGAACAGTCACAGAAATGTACCAGGTCTCCAGGAAAGACAGGTGGCTAAGGAAAAAGTACATAGGTTTTTGGAGATGGCTGTTTGTCCTGATCAGAGCGATGATCACAATGTTCTCGAGGAGGGTCAGGATGTAAATAACAAGGAATATTACAAAGAGCAGTATTTGAAATTCTATGGCAGTAGGGAAACCAAGGAGAATAAACTCCTGGACTCTGGTCTGGTTTTCCAGCTTCATGCCTGATCTAATGACCTGAAGAACAAGGAGTAAACAAAAGCATGCTAAGATGTGGATGGTGATTATGCTAGCAAAACAACACATCATTTTAATGTATTAAAAATACAAGGCAGAATACATGAAAGAACAGGACAAACCACATTGTGATGACATACCTCACAACAAATACAGTGGCAAAAGTTGAACGTACTTCTGCTCTTTCCCTCCACATCTCCATCCACTTCCCAAAATGTGGTTCCATAGGCTAAGAGGGCATTTAAACCTGCTTTTGGAAGTGGATTCAGGGGACTGCAGTTGAGGAATGGTGGGAATTTGAGTCTGATGACATTTCCCGCAACAACAACATGGGAATGGGTCATCACAGTTCCACTGGAAGGGTCACCACAACTGAATGGTAGAACATCTGCTTTGCTTGGAGAAAGTCCCAGAGAAACTTTGGAGAACTTCTGCCAGTGGAAATGTAGAAAATGCTGAGCTAGATGAATCAATGGTCTGAATCAGCTTCCTCTGTCCCTATTACCACCAACATAACATATATCACCTTCATCAAGTTTATCTAATGGAAATCAAGCATACAATATAGAGGAAACAATTCATGTAAGAAGCCTGCATTCTAATATCATAACCACTGGGTTGGTTCACGCATAAATGATTGCCATATATAGTATCAGGTGTTGATTTGCATGATATGTGACCAAGTCATGCCAGATCAAATTCCACAGCCAGAACTATTCTATCAAATCACATTACCTCAAACACCATGATTCCGCAGCCAGTCCACACATTCAATCACCATGTCTTCAAGTGCAGAGTAATTAAGCATGTGCAAACCAGCCCAATGGTGGACACGAGAAATGTATGCAACCATTGCACCAAGTACAGTGAAACAATGTTTATGCCAAGTTGTGCATACTTTACTTTTAGATCACATTACACTTTCAGTTTACAGTTTGATCTCAGGATCAAGTCAAGTGTTTAGGCAGCATGGCATTTTCATAGTTATGGGCATGATCTGATCTAATATGCAATAGTCCTGTTGAGTTCAGAGTGCACATACTTCAGTGCCTGTGCTTGGATGGATTTTGCTCCACATTTTCTTGTGCATGAGACTGGCAATGAGGTGCATCTCACTTGCTTAGTTATTTGACATTTAACATTACAAGTCTAACAATATCTACTTGGGCTTACTCCCAAGTAAGTGGGGCTAGGATTGCAGCCTAAAGGCTGTATCCAATTAAGTTGTTCTGTTAGCATAAGCCAGGGGTGCCCAAACTTTTTTCAAAGAGATTTGATGAAGTGAACATGTGTGAGGGCCAACCAAAGTTGTTGAGCCTGGCATAAGTACTTCTGGATGCAGTGAGAGACAAGTGGACGTCCTTGTGCTAATGGGATAACTTCATTGGATACAACCATACGCTACTGTTTTGACAAGTCCTTACTTTTTCCCAAGTTATCATTAAAAATATACTTCTTAACTAGTAAACTAGGAGCAGGGAAACTCCACCCCTCCAGATGTTTCTGGACTACAGACCCCACCATCCCTGACCATTAGCCATGTTGGCTGGGGCTGATGGGATGTGGAGTCCAAAGACATCTGGAAGGCCACAGGTTTCTCAGCACAACATAAAGAAAAATATAAATAAGCACATTCCACACAAAAATTAACATTTATCTAGGCTTCACAAACAAACTACGTCAAATTCAGGAAATAAAAGTTTGTACTCACAACATGCAGTGGAAAGAATGTCTGGAATTTCTGATGGAGTATTTGAATGGAGCTTCCACTATACTGCTTTCTTAAGGGTGGCGAGAGAGAGAAAAAATACAGGATATAAAGTAGAGCAAACAAGTAGAAGTTTGGAATATAACATGCAAACATGAACAGGCTTCAGCTACAAACTATCAAAACCTCTGGTCTGTTGTTTGGCCTGCCCTTTATTCTTTCAGTAACATAGAACGTTTAATTCTGCTCAGTCCAGTAACTGTGGGAGGATTTTCACCTGCTTGGAATTGGCCGAGCTCTGTCATAGCTTGATATATTCATGTAAACAGCACCTGAAGTCTCATCAGAACCTTGTCCCTCAGAGCTTCTTAACTTGGTAGAACCCCTGTCTATTACTCCCCTCCCCATAATCTAAATTAGATGTTAACAATGGGAAAAGAGCAAGAGGAAGAATAAACTCCCTTGGATGTTGTAATCAGACGCTCTGAAGCACCCTTTCCAGTGAGACAAAGTAAACTCTATTTTAGAGCTCACCTACTTGGGACTAACAGTTTGTAAGAAAGCAATTAGACACAAGTACCACTTAATGGAATTGATGTCTATTGTTTTAGTACTTTATGTTTCAATTTCATATTGTTTTAACTGAATATTAGTTTAGGGTTTGCTATGAGGATTTGGGTCCTAAAATGTGAGGTATAAATGACTAAAATGAATGAATGACTATTATGAGTCATGTTAAATGCATTGGCTTCAGTATAAATGGTTTGCCTAGTGAAATTTTCTTGAATATTCAGAAGTAGGTCACCTTGTTGGCAGTTGCTTCTGCTTTATGATGGCTTAAATTGCATGGATTCCATTAATCTATTCCAGTGAACAGGCAAATCTAGGACTTGGGTTCAGCAGTTTGATTCCAATATAGTGATGAAGTTGGAACAAATCATAGGGTACGATACAATACGATACCATATCAATACTAACTAAGTAATGGACTTGTTAAGGGGTTGTTCCTTAATAGCTATAATTTCGTGATATTTTGGAGCATGGATAGACAAACTAAGGCATGGGGGCCAAATCCGGCCCAATCGCCTTCTAAATCCAGCCTGCGGGCGGTCCAGGAATCAGCGTGTTTTTACATGAGTAGAATGTGTGCTTTTATTTAAAATGCATCTCTGGGTTATTTGCTTTTATTTAAAATGTATCTCTGGGTTATTTGTGGGACATAGGAATTCGTTCATTTCCCTCCCCCCCAAAAAAAATATAGTCCGACCCCCCACAAGGTCTGAGGGACAGTGGACTGCCCCCCCCCTGCTGAAAAAGTTTGCTGATCCCTGGAGCTTGAGTAAACACAGAAAGCTCAACGTGTTAAACTTAACATTTTGTTTTGTTTATTGAATTTGATTAGGTTTTGAGAAGGCTAGGCCCATAACTCTCTCAGCAGGAAAGCTTAAAATTGAAAATGAGAAATTGGAGAAAAGAAAGAAAGCCTTCCATTGGCCACAATGGGGGAGGGGGGAATTACTATGCCATGCCAGGTCTGGCATAGTTTGAGACCTGAACTGAAGGGGAATGCCAGGGTTTAGGGGTCTAAAGATCCTTGGGTAATGGTGATTGACTATAATAACCAGAATTCTTGGGGGCGGGGTGGGTGGGTTGAAATAATAATTTTAAAATTTGAACTTTTAAAACATGGTTGTACAATCTTTGTGGAAGACCCTATTCTGGACACCCCTCTGCCCAGAAGATTAGGAGAAAGCAGGTGACTTACAGGGATGGAGCATTTTCTGTGATGTCATCCCATTTCCTGAACTCTCTTTATGTATCTATTCACCGTACAGGTGATGATGGGGGGTAGGGTGGACTGGGGGCTATCACTCTGGGCACAGTTTTTTGGGTGGCACAGGGCATCGTGAGCTGTCCTTCTCAGCCCCCCTCTAGCTGTGAGGAGGAAGGAAAGCTGGAAGGTGCCAGAGAAGGACACAACAGCTCATGGCATCCTGTGAACCCAGTGCTATTTTTGCAAATCTCAGAAAATGACACTGGGCTTGCAGGGTGCCACGAATGTGCCCCTCAAAACTGGCCGGCCAGTGGGCCATTCCCTAGACAACTAGCTCCCTCTCTAGGCTCAGGCACCTCTTAGTGTCCTTCAATCAATTTGTCCATGCCACAGGACCAGCACTTGCAGCTAAAGGCAAAAAAGTGGCATGTCCCCCACCCTGCAACCATCTCCATAGCCCCCTGAATCTGCTCAGCCACCCTTCTGTGGTCATCAGGCTTGGAGGGAGTGGGGAACATTAAGTGCAGCTTATTGAAGCTAAATCCTGCTCCCCACCTAAAAACCCTCCCTTCTCCTTCAGTGTGCACTCCCCACCCCTCAGGTGCAGCTTTCAGTCTTGCAGACTCTTAACAGAAGTGTAGAACCTGAGATGACAGTTGGGGTGGCAGCTGGGAAAGAATCAATTTTAAGAGGGAGACATGATTATCTTACAAAAGAGAGGAAAACCATTTTCAGCCTGAGATGCATGTTTGTTTGTTTATTTATTTTATATACCAATTAATTGCCAAAATCGCTAAGTAGTGTTCCCGATAGGCTGCCTTCTATAGGTTGTATACAAATTGTGGACGAAGCAGAAGTGGGTATGGTCACACAGAGACCACTCTTCATCCAGGCAAGCAAGAAGTCTCTTCACAACTCAAGGGATGGTCATAGTTCTGAAGGCCAAGTGGAGAGGACTGAAGGGTTTGAGGCTTCCCACTACAATGCCAGAAGAATTATTGGTGGTGGGGAGGTAACCTGAAACCAACTGCTGGGACTCAGGCTGAAAACAAGCCTTGTTGGACATGAGTCAGTAGCTGATGAGGATCAAGCTGAGGAGCTGAATTAAAACAAACACTGCTCACTGCCAGTTTCAAAAGAAGCTGCCAATAACCTGATTGCTCTGACTTGATGTAAGATGTCCCCTTTAAGCAACTGATTTTTATTTTATGAATGTGTTTTATTCTTTTTTAGATGTGGAAAAACTGAGAACACTGCAGTCTTAAAAATCCACCATTTTTATAAAGTTGTCAGTATCTTAGATTATTTTTATTTAGACAATGCATTTTTATGATATGTCCTTGTGTTAAATCAGTGCTATCTTTTCCATGGTCTAGTTGTATCCCCCCCCCTTACAGCTGTGATCTCTAAACTCAGTTATAAATTACAAGGAAGGAAGAAAAAGGAAAGAATATGACTGGAATGAGGGAGTGGTGGGGAGATATCTTCTGAGGCTACTACCCTTGGGAGGGAACTGCTGATTTTCAGGCCTAGTCCCAAGGTGGGACATGCACATGGCCACAGTGGAAGAAATCTATTTAATAGAAGTTCTTTGTATGCAGCTGCATATGAACACGGAGGCAAAAAACTTACCTGGACACATAATAGGTGAATTGCATTCTTTACTTCTACAAATCTGTGCATAATGTTTTGATTGGTTATTAAATATAAGCTACAGGAAATTTATACCTGCATATGCATATATTAAGATAGTTCAGGCACAGATAGGCTAGGGAAGCTAAACACAGTAAATGCATTTGCTTAGTATTTTTATGCCCATGCAAATAATGTCTGCTGATGTCGATGCAGTTTAGCTGGTATAGTGTAGTGTAGGAATGGGGAACCCATGACCTTTCAGATATTGTTGGGTTCCAACTCCCATCAGTCCCAGTCAACATGGCCAGTCCTCAGAAATGACAGTGGTTGTTGTTAAGCAAAAGCCTGAATATCCACAGATGTATAGTACTTGGTGTACACATTTGGAACAAGGCCAATAGAAACTCTGGAATCTGGGGAGAAATTTGGATGAGATTTATTTTGTTGTGGGCAACAACAACAAAGCACATTTACCCCTCTGAAATTCTCCTTGGTTCTATAGTAAACTGTGATGGGGCTTGACTAAAAACTGATTTATGAATGCAACAGAGCCAGTTCCAACTTTGCACTCAGAGACAGACTTACGTGGGAGAAAATCCTGATGGTTTCAACATAATTTATTCCAAAAGAAAGGTAACTTTCAGATGACCTGTTTATTAAGCATTCATCCCCTTCTCCCCGCCACAAAATTTTCATGGAGTTTTGATGGCATCAGCAATTTGCTGAGCATTGATTCTGATTTGTTTGTGGGGATGCTATGCCACATTGCCTCAAACAAGTCTTATTCCACAATTCTGAGTGCATTTTCCCGCTGCTTTCCTTATTGCAGCAAGTCTGATCTTGGAGGCTAGAAGGCTTGTTGTGCAGCAGTGCAACCGCATATCCATTTCAATTGTACAACCTGAGTATGTTGGTTTGTCATTGAATGCCAACCCAAAACAACAACAGGCTGTAAGTGCCCTAAGTTTTACAGTATTAGGCTGCAATCCAAACCCCCACACACATACATATATCAAACTAGTACAGTGTGGGAGCCAGTGTGGTATATCAGGGACTAGGCTCTGGGAAACCAGGTTTCATATCCCACCTTGGGCATGAAGTGCTTTGGGTAATGTTCAGCCATGACCTGCCTCTCAGCCTTACCTTCCTCACAGTCCTTCAAAGTAATATAGAAATGTGGAGAATTAAAGTGGAGTGGGTGGGAGAAAAGATAGGTAAATTTAAATTGAGAGATTTATCTACCCCCACTTCCCAGTATAAGTAATAAATAAATACACAGCAGAATTATTTACCAGCTTTTATTACTTTTTTGTTTTTAATCAAAATGGGTTATATGCATGAAAGGTTTAAATTCATTTTTAAATATTATTGAAATCATCAATGTGTTTTTCCCCCCAGGGGGTACTCAAGGGTACGCAGTACTGACAACTCTTTTTATTGTTAAAAAGTGTGGCACTTACTGTAACAATTTCATGGTAAGTACTGGCACCTATTTTTCTAGAGAAAAAGCACTGATCATCATTATTATGTATTTTTAAGGTGCAAAAAAGGGGGTTAATAGATGCTGTATGACATATCTTCCTTCTTGTTCTTGCAAGTACCCTGCATTCAAGAATGGAAGAAACCAACCAGACAAATGTCCCCTATTTCATCCTTCTGGGATTTCCCAGCGCTGCAGAGCTTCAGATTCTTCTTTTTGTCCTGTTCATACTTAGCTACCTGCTGACCCTACTGGAAAATCTCATCATCATCATAGTTGTTCGGCTGAACAACAGCCTTCACAAGCCCATGTACTACTTTCTGTGCAACCTCTCTTTCCTTGAATTCTGGTATGTCACAATCATTGTCCCTAAGATGCTGGCAGATTTCCTCACACAAGACAAGCGTATCTCCTTCCAAGGCTGCTTGACACAACTGTATTTCTTTGTCACATTTGTGTGCACTGAATACATCCTTCTGGCTGTTATGGCTTATGACCGGTATTTGGCCATCTGCTACCCACTGCGGTATCCAGCTATCATGAGTAATAGTTTATGTGCTCGGCTCTCAGCGGGATGCTGGACGTGCGGCTTAATTACCTCTGCAATCAAGCTTAGCTTCATTGGTCGGCTGAAATACTGTGGCACTGACAAGATCAACCACTATTTCTGTGACATTTCACCTCTCTTGAATGTATCCTGCACAGATTCTTCCATGGCTGAGCTGGCAGATTTTATCCTAGCTCTTATGGTTATCATGGTCCCACTCTGTGTTGTTGTGCTGTCCTACATCTATATCATCTCAACGGTGTTGAAGATCCCTTCAGCTCAAGGCAGAAAGAAAGCTTTCTCCACCTGCAGTTCCCATCTCACCGTTGTGGTGCTGTTCTACTCTACCACACTCTTCACCTACGCACGGCCCAAAGCGATGTATGCCTACAACTCCAACAAAGTGGTGTCGGTGCTGTACACTGTAGTAGTGCCTCTTCTGAACCCTCTAATATATTGCCTCAGGAATAAGGAAGTAAAAGATGCACTGAGGAAGACTCTATCAGTTTAAGGAACTGATGAAGTTGGGAGTTGGAATACAGGACACCATAAACTGTTGGATAGTGGAAAACAAAAGAAGGCTGCAGTCCTATACCCATCTAGGGGATTTCTTTTTAATCTACTTGATTTGGGGATCTGATTGATTTTAAGTTTTGATCATTTGCCATTCTGAAAACTCTTCTGTCAAACTTACTCTTGGTTTGTCTCATTTATGCTGTTTCATTATTTACAATGTTGTGACCATTGACTATACCAACTTACCTGAGAGTTAGCCCCACTGAACACAGTAGGACTTACAAGTAGAAATGTATGGATTGCATCATAATGCCTTATGTGGGTGTTCAGCCTGATCACATAAGGACTAAATGTGTATGTGGGACATAGGAATACACTGCAACCCTTAACCCCTGAATACTAGGCATGTTGTTGTACCCAATCTTTCTGTGTTGGCTGGAAAGGTATGAAGGTTGCCCTAAGCATAATCAGCTAGATTCACTTTTAAGCCTCTTTACAACTGGAAATTGTAATGAGGAGGTTTCTAAGAAAATTCAGCTGAACATATTTAGAAGCACTGTTAAGATTTTTGAAAGTCAGGGGTAAAGGCGGTACACCTGGCAGTGCAAGGGAAATGGGGACAGGTGTGGTGTCCCCCTGCATGCACTTTGCCTTTGCACGATCAGGCTGAATGCCTGAACAGTGCTCCAGTGTTTTTGAATTTGGGTTACACACTTCAGAGTCTTATAGCGGAGAAATTTAATTAAATGAACATGCTTGAAATAAAATGGCAAAATCAGCAATGCTGGATATATTCTGCACCTCCTTGAAAGACAAATCCCAGCAATTGTGGTATGTCAACAAAAAAAGAAACAGTGAGTTTTAGCTAAGCAAGTTTTACCTATGTTAATCATGCCCATTAATTTCAATAGGTCTACTCTGAGTATCACTAAGCACAGAATTCAGTCCATGTTTTCCCCTTTTGATAATCTGACACACCTGAAATGTATATTTTTTAGAACCTTTGGAAGTTGTTTTAAGCTGTTTTTAACAATGTGTTTTAATTGTTGCAATCTGCCTTGTGATCTCAGGTTGATGGGTTAATAATAATAATAATAATAATAATAATAATAATAATGCTATTGTCCATTTTATTTCCAGTGAATAAATTTTTGACGTTCATGTATGTGTTTATTTATTTAATGGATGTGGGGATGCTCACAAGAATTAAAATCAAGTCAGTAAAATCTTCTGTGCAATGTAGAGTGAAAGAAAAATATATTAGGGACATAGCAAGCTGCCTTATACTAAGTTAGAGCACCAGTACAACTAGCTCATATTGTCAATTATTATTATTATTATTATTAATTATTATTATTATTACGCCACCAATCATGCTGGGTTTCCCCAGCTACTCTGGGTGGCTTTCAGCAACAGTTTAAAAGTACATTAAAACATCAATCAATAAAAACTTCCCTAAACAGGGCTGCCTTCAGATGTCATCTAAACATCAGGTAGTTGTTTATTTCTTTGACATCTGATCGGAAGGCATTCCACAGGGCGGGCACCACTACCAAGAAGGCCCTCTGCCTGGTTCCCTGTAATTTTTCTTCTTGCAGTGAGGGAACCGCCAGAAGGCCCTCGGCACTGGATGTTAGTGTCCAGGCAGAATGATGGGGGTGGAGATGCTCCTACAGGTATACTGGGCTGAAGCCATTTAGGGCTTTAAAGGTCATCACCAACACTTTGAATTGTGCTCAGAAACATACTGGGAGCCAATGTAGGTCTTTCAAGACCGGTGTTATGTGGTCTCGATGGCTGCTCCCAGTCACCAGTCTAGCTGCCACATTCTGGATTAGTTGTAGTTTCTGGGTCACCTTCAAAGGTAGTCCCACATAGAGTGCATTGCAGTAGTCCAAGCGGGAGATAACCAAAGCATGTACCACTCTGCCCAACTTCCAGAACATGCACTCAGAGAACTGGGTCTTCCCAATAAGTTGCCCAGAGGCAGGGATAGTCTTCAAACAACGACTAAACCTGCCTCTTTGATAATGACGTGGTCTGGTCTTAGCATAATTCCTCCTCCTACCTGAGATCACGGAGATCGGGTGTCCCAGTGCATCCCCCCCGCCCCGTGGCTGAGGCCCACTCCCAGGCACCCCTGATCCTCTCCCTTTAAGACAGAACTATACAAAACTACACAAACTATTCAAAAAGGAAAAAAGGATTTTTAAAATAATAATCAAAATTTACTATACTAAAATTAAACCAATCCCCATTGACCAGCAGAAGCTCTTCAGGGTTTCAGAGAAGTGTCTTTTTTGCACAAGTTCTGCAGTGAGGTTAGATGACATCATCTAACCTGGGCTGCATCAATAGGAGTGAGGTTAGATGACATCATCTAACCTGGGCTGCATCAATAGGAGTATAGCATCTAGATCAAGGGAAGTAATAGTGCCACTGTATTCTGCTCTGGTCAGACCTCACCTGGAGTACTGTGTCCAGTTCTGGGCACCACAGTTCAAGAAGGACACTGACAAACTGGAACGTGTCCAAAGGAGGGCAACCAAAATGGTCAAAGGCCTGGAAACGATGCCTTATGAGGAACGGCTAAGGGAGCTGGGCATGTTTAGCCTGGAGAAGAGGAGGTTAAGGGGTGATATGATAGCCATGTTCAAATATATAAAAGGATGTCACATAGAGGAGGGAGAAAAGTTGTTTTCTGCTGCTCCAGAGAAGCGGACACGGAGCAATGGATCCAAACTACAAGAAAGAAGATTCCACCTAAACATTAGGAAAAACTTCCTGACAGTAAGAGCTGTTCGACCGTGGAATTTGCTGCCAAGGAGTGTGGTGGAGTCTCCTCTTTTGGAGGTCTTTAAGCAGAGGCTTGACAACCATATGTCAGGAGTGCTCTGATGGTGTTTCCTGCTTGGCAGGGGGTTGGACTTGATGGCCCTTGTGGTCTATTCCAACTCTATGATTCTATTACATCATTGCACATGTATTTATTTCACATTCATGCCAGTTTATTTGCAGGGAGGTTATAAGACATTGCACTCAGCAATTGTTATCCCACACTTTCCAGTATGTTTTCCTGTCACTCTCCTTATCAGAAAAAGTCCTTTTAAAAAAACAAAACAAAAGTGAGTTCATTGCAAAGAACATCAAATGAACTTTAATTGAACTTTAATAGTGACAGCTGGAAGTGCCCTAATTGCATATTTCCATGCGCCATATCTTTGAAAAAAACTTTACAAGCTTTCCTGGAAACCCAAAAAATGTTGTTGCCTATGTTTAGTAAATGCCATTTGCCTTTCCCCCAGTGATCTAATACAGCATCTTAGACTAGTACAGGATAAAAGTGTTTTACACTATATACTATCTACACCAGGAAAAGCTTTGCATTCATCTGTAATGCAGACTGCAGACTGTTGGTGAAAACAGTCAAGTCATGCCAATCAGAAAACATTTTTTTGCCAGTGCAGACTTAATTTTGGCACAATGATTTATTTACAATCTATCCTCCAAAAAGGAAAAGGGTTTCTCATTTTTCAACTGTTGCCATGCAAAATCTGGATTTGGTAGGATCCTTCAAAGGAAAGCATGGTAAGTCCTTGTGTGCTGATATGGATCTTTGTTACTTAGAAGTACAATTAGAGAAAATAAAGTGAAATGCAAATATGATATAAAATGCTTCAAATATGCTGTTTGTTATTATGTATATTTACTAGAAAGTGGGTTCTATGGAGTTCAGTAGAACTTTCTCCCAATTTAGCAACCTTCTATCTATTCCAGTATAGAGGCCATATGGCACTATTTACACTGATTAGAACAAGATTTAAAAATTTGTAATAAAACTGCTGAAAATAAAGGGGGGAAAAGTATATTTGTTTTCTGGGAAGAATAGAACAAAAATATATAATAAATTCAATACTTTTGCAGCACACCATGAACACCATTGTACTCATCAAATTATAATTTGTTTTTTATGCTTTTAAATAAATAACAAATATTTTTCACTTGTTTGCGACTGAAAATTATGAGAAGCTATTTGGAAAGTAGATTTATTTATCTATTTAGGAAAGGGCATTTATACAAATTATGAAATAAGACTTTGCTCTTATCCATCAGGGCTTTTTAAAACAGTCTTATGATTCAGAAGATCTTTCTGTGGATCTAACTTATTGACATTGCAACCTTTAGTTCATAACTACAAAAACAAACAAACACCCTTCTACTGAACCCAGTAGGGCTTAATTCAGAGTAAACACAAATAGAATGATGAAAGACTTTTCAAGCATTATATTTTATCCAATGTGATCTATTGGGGGCCACTGAACATTAGCACTAAAGCAGTGAATAGACTTAAACAAGATGGAAGCAATTCTAGTCATTACATCAAGTTAAATGAATGTACTCAGATACAAATACATGGAGTGCTGGAGTACTGTCCCATAGAAAGGCTGAATTAAAAACAGAGCAATAACATCTTTTTTTTCCTGGAGAAGCATGGGCTTTTAATTTTATTCTTAAATGCTAGTCCCTCCTGGAGCACAAGGGGCTTTTTAACTTGTGAAGTACAATCATACAATCATATGCATGTTAATTTGGAAGTAAATCATGCTATGTGTTCTGTAGGGCTTTCTTCCAAGTCATAGGATTACACTAACAGTGTTATTCAAAAATATTTTCCTTATTCCCCAGAAAATAAATGATGCTATTGATTGATTGATTGATTGATTGATTATTACTTATTTTATCATGTTACATCTAGTTAGTACCTCCGACTGGTATTTGATCCAGTGGGGTGAGAAAGAGCCAATTTTCAGTGACTGCCCCTTTCCTTTGCACCCTGCTGCACTACATCCCACAACATTTTGAAGCTCTGCCAACTCTCTGGAGCATATATTTGGAAGTGCATGGATTTGGGAGAGATGAGAAGTGACCAACAAAAATATTTAAATATAAGGGAGGGGAGAGACGGTTTGCTCTTCTGCCGACTGGACTGAGGGAGTCAGGCGCAGGTGGCTTTTATGCATGGCTCGCTAGCTTTTCACTTTGCATTGATGACACTGATCCTCATTTTGGGCCAGGGCTGTGTGGCCACCCTATGAGTTGTGAAATTAGGATTTGTTTGTCTCAAGCTGCATCACTTTTTGCTTAAGCTGCACTGAGGTGGGGGCTAGGGAAGCTTGCTATAGCTACTGGATGTCCCAGAAAATTAGATTGTAAAAACCCCCTCATATTTTGAAACAAACAAAACTAATTTGGGTGCTGGGTTCTTTTTGTAATCACTGTAAGTGTTTTTTCTATGCAGAACAGGCATTCAGTCACGGAGAGACAGAACCAATCCAGTGTTAGAGATTTCATTCTTCTGGGCTTCCCAACACCCCTGGAATTCCAAATCTTGCTCTTCACATTGTTCCTCATTGTCTACATTTTGGTTTTGTCTGAGAACGTCATAATAATGCTGACAGTCTGGGTGAACAACAACCTCCACACTCCCATGTACTTCTTTCTGTGGAACTTGTCCTTCTTAGAGATCTGGTACATCACCGTCACCCTGCCAAAGGCTATGGTGAACTTTGTGATAGAGAGCAATCTGATCTCCTTTGTGGGATGCATGATGCAACTCTATTTCTTCCTGGCATTGGGCTGCACTGAGTGTGTCCTCCTTGCCGTCATGGCCTATGACCGCTACGTTGCCATCTGCTACCCTTTGCGCTACCAGGTAATCATGACACGAACTCTCTGTATCCAGCTGGCAGCTGGATCATGGATGAGTGGCTTTTTCATCTCAACATGGAAAGTCCTCCTAATATCTCAGTTGACATACTGTGGCCCCAATATCATAAATCACTTCTTCTGTGATGTATCCCCACTTCTGAACTTGTCTTGCACTGATATGTCCATGTCTGAGCTGACAGATTTCATATTAGCTTTGTTTATCCTACTGACTCCCCTTTGTGTCACTATCATGTCCTACATTTATATCATCTCCACCATCCTACGCATTCCCTCAGCCAAAGGCCGCCAGAAAGCATTCTCCACTTGTGCATCTCACCTCACAGTGGTAGTGATCTTCTACTCTGCCAGTATTTTCATCTATGCCCGCCCCAGGGCCATCAACTCCCTCAATTCGAGCAAACTTGTTTCACTTCTTTATGCTGTCATAGTCCCCCTTTGCAACCCAATTATTTACTGTCTCAGGAACAATGAAGTGAAACAGGCACTGAAGAAAACCCTGTTGCGGAAGCCATAAGGAAGCCTTTTTATAGCCAGGGCAGATTTAGGTTTCATGAGGCCCTAAGCTGCTGAAGATAATGGGACCCTTTATATGTCCAGCTGTCCTTTGTCAACAACAAATTGTTGCTGTTTTTTATGTTGAATATATGCTATATGGTAATTTATGGACCTAATAGGTATCTAAAGCCATTTGCCACTGTTGCTGTATGTAGGTTTTATTTTATTTCTTTTTTTAATCTTATATTTTGGAAATGTATATCCAGTTTTTTTCCTTTAACTTTTTTTGGGCCCCCAAGAGAGTGGGGCCCTAAGCTATAGCTTGCTTAGCTTATACGTAAATCCGGCACTGCTTATGACTGATATGGAGACTGCTATTAGCACAGAATACCATAGCCTGAGTGGTGCTCCTTACTAGACACATGTCACACCTGTGCTAAGGGAACTTCACAGGTTGTCTATTAAGTACCAAGCCAGATTTAAAGTTATGTTACTAAAATATAAAGCCCCAAACAGCTCTGGACTATGTTATCTGAAAGAACCAATTGCCCTCCATTAAGCTCAGCAAATGGAACAAATTTAGCCTTTCCATGAACTTCTGGTTATCAACTTCTGGTGATGCAGAGACAGACCTTGTGTCTGGTGGCACTGGTGTTATGGAAAGCACTCCCTGCTGAAATACAAGAGGACACACCTATATTGGCATTGCACTGGGCTTTGAAGACACAGACATTCCCTTGGTCTCTCAAAATGTTTCAAGCACTGTATTGTTTTAATGGGATTGTTTTACTGCACGTTTTAATGATGGAGGTTTATGTTTCAATGTTTTATTGTGTGTGTAACAACAACAGCAACAATTTATTTATACTCCACCCATCTGGCTGGGTTATGGATTAATTATGGATGTTTATATTTTAATATTTGTGCAACTGGTTTTTATATTTGTAAACCACTTAGAAATCTATTTTGGCATTCGGTTCTATACAAATTTAACAAAAGCAACAACAGTAATCCAGGGAAGAGTTCAGATTTAATGTTACAGAGAAGTAAGCAGCAGGCTGCTCTTGCCTATTAGAAAGGCAAGCACAGCTGTTTTTTGAAGCAGCCAGGGAGCAGAGAAGCCTTTTTGGCTTAAGGGTCACATTCCAAAGCTTAAATGCTGGTAGTGTGCAGGGCCAAATCTAAAAGTTGGGGGGGGGAGGAGGAAGCCACCTACAAAGCCCATAGAGACATCCATACACTTCTCCCCTTCAATCACACCAATATTCCATTAATTCACACACATTTAGATGTTTAACGTATCCTGAAACAATGATAAAGGGGCACTGCTAAGAGTACGGCATGCCCTACAGGTATGCTTAATATGTAGAAGAAAACAGGCTTTTATTGTTGCATCTCCAGCCCTCTGGAACAAGTAGCCAGTAGCTTTTAACTTCTTCAAGTAAAATGCCTTCCAGAAACTCTCTAACAAACCAAGATACTCATAAGACATTTCCAAAATTAAATTTAGTGTGTGTGTGCACGTGCGCGCGCATGCGTGTGTGCACGCGCGCACACACATTAACATCTGACTGCAGCAATAACAAGACTGCCCTAAGAGCTATGGTGCTGAGTACTTAAACTGGTGTGTAGCCAGATGCTCTGCATGACTCAAATCCTACAAAGTTCATTGAAATCAATGAAATTGAAGTAGACGTATTTGTTAATTTCATTGGGTCTCCTCTGAGTAGTATTAACTAATATATAAATTCCTCTAATATAATGCATTTTATATTGCTGGTATATACAATTTAATGCATACCTCCCCCAATGTATACAATATAAACATTGTTTTGTTGGAGAACTGCATTGCAAAATTCAGGGAAGAGAAATTTTTTGAAGCAATAGCTGCATTGAGTTGCTGCATTCTGGATCAGTTGAATTTCTTTTGCATCCCTATTCTGAATATGACTCAGTTTTATACCACTCAGAAGTTAGTTCAGGGGGGCTGACTCCCTGGTATGTTTGCAATGGATGGTGGTCTTAATTTCACTGAACTCAGTTTCCAGAGAGCCACAGCCTTAGATTTTGAGAAACAAAGATGTATTTTTCATGTGTGTCTTTTTCATGTGTGTCTTCAAAAGGTTAGCTACCTTCTGGAAGGAAGTTGCGTGGAAATTACATATAGCTAAGAATAGAAGTTGAGAAGGTTTCATTCACAAACCACAGTATATTCTCATGTTATTGTATGTCTCCTGTGTAACATATGTGCATCCTAACATAACCTACAGGGGGAATCCCGAACTATGCAAGGAATGGGATTTAACTATTTGGGTTAAAATGTTTGTATATCTTATCTCAATTTAGTCTTGTCTTTTTTCTTTTAGGGAAAGCTATAAAAAGGGAGCAGACAAGTTATTTTTTAAAAAAAAGTGTTTCAGAGGAAAATAACAGTAACAATAAATATATTTTATTGGATAATCTGAATTTTTTGTCTGCAAGATTCATTTGTTATGGCATGTTAGCATATGTTAAGTGGCATTACATTCATGCTATTATTTATTTATAGAAGAAGAAGAAGAAGAAGAAGAAGAAGAAGAAGAAGAAGAAGAAGAAGAATGACAACAACAATGACAACAGCAACAACAATTTATTTGTACCCCACCCATCTGACTGGGTTGCCCCAGCAACTCTGGGCAGCTTCCAATATATATTGCTTGATTAATAAAACCTCAAAGTGGTTTACAAAAATTCATCAGTAGACAACATTCTAAAACAGGTGTTTTAGGTATTCAAAAATATTTTAAATCAACAATGGGCTAAAGCCAGATTAAGGCACCCATTAGCTTTTACATATTTGAATAGGCTTGCCAAAAAAGAAAAGAAAAAAGAAAAGAAAAGGTAGGCACTGGAATGAAGGGGCCTGTTGAGGTGAACAGTGTGAACAAAAAGGAAATTCCAAAGCTTGGGTGCTGCCACACCGAAAGATCAATTTCTTGCAAGTGCTCGAAGAAGTAAAGTGGGTATATATGGGGTAATGCAATCTCGCCTATAAACTGGTCCCAGTCTTTTAGGGGCTTTATGTACTAATAGTAACACCCTGAACTTGACCCAGTAACTGATTGGCAACTAGCGCAGGTCTCTGAGCAGAGGTGCTACATGTTGGCCACAACATTCCACACTTACTGCAGATTTCAGATCCAGGGCAAGAGAAGCCCCACATAGTAATCCATTCACTTATCAAAATTTATGAAAAGATTTTATGTGTAGAAGACAACTGCTATGTAAAGAAACTCTCCAAACCCTTCTAGTACCTTGGTTTACAACCATAATCCGTTCTGGAGGTCCGCTTTCACCAACGGGGCCTCCAAAATAAAAAAGGGTTGTAATCCTCCCCAAATGAGTTGTAATCCAAAAAAGGGACACACACTTTGGGGTTTGACGTGGTTGTAATCCAGAACGGTTGTAATCCAAAACGGCTACAAACCAAGGTACCACTATATGTTGCTAATACATCAGAACATTGCTGTTCCATTATGTTCAGTAGACACAGTATGTTTCCAAGAGTTCACAAGATGTTTATACGAGGTTCACAAGCAGTACATTAAAGCAACTGACCAGCTGCAGGTGCTGTTATGAGATTTTCATACCTGCTTAAGAGCTACCTGTTCATTCAGACTTTTATTGGTTGCTCTTGCGTGTTGAGGTCCCCAGGTCCATCCCAATAACTCACACATCACACAGAATTTTTTGTTTAAGATTTTTGGCATAATTTTGGCCACAACTTTATTAAAATACAAATTTGTGAGTGGTTGCGTAGGCATTGGTTGCGACTATCTGCCCCCACCATGGGGGACAGACTGACATTCCGCACGATGCGAAAGTCAGAATAGGGGAATACACTTGGGGGTAACAACGGAGCAGGGAACCTGCCCTCACCCCAAATGCAAACAGGAGCTATGGCCCGAGCCCCCTTGACAGAGTGGACAAGCAATAGTTAGCCCCCAAATCCTTTAATGGAATCCCTTACAGCAGCAGCATTAGAGGGGCAGGCACAGCCAATCCATGCCCCTCAACCAACCAAACCATAAACCAATGCCTAATCGCGAACCTTACAAGTTGTGACGATTTGCTACGCATTAGGCAAAAACCAAATGGCCCCAGCCAATCAGCCAGATGGACAAAATTCCTACCAGGCCCCCGCTCCAAACCAGACGACCCCATGACAGGCATAGCATAGTCAAAGCGAACAACCCTATTCTAGGGAGGATGGGACGGGCAATCCGATGCATGGTTGAAAAGAGGAAGCCCTAGCCTCGTGCAAGGAGTTTTAGTATTTCTGGCTGTCAATCAATAAATGTCAACATTCCCAACAACAAGGGAAGCCCCAATCGCATCAGTGGCCAACGATCAATTAGCCCGCCCCCCAACTTTGGAGTGTCCTGGTGGCCCCCACCGCAACACGTGCTCTCCATGAAGGAGAACACGCTTTCCCAGCTTGAAAGGATGTGTGTTCCTGGCTTCAGTGTGTAGAATTTTATAACAAATAAAATAAAACCTACATACAGTAACAGTGTAGGCTCCTATGATGTAAGTAATGGATCCCACCTGCTAGCCTGCTCCCTAAAATATCACTGATTTGCTCATTTCTATATATAAGGTGCCTACATTCTGCATGGACTGGTTGCATGGCAACATGTGCAAATGCCTTTAGATACCTATTAGGGCCATAAATTACGATATAGCATATATTCAACACAAAAAAACAGCAACAATTTGTTGTTGACCAAGGACAGCTGGACATATAAAGGGCCACATTACCGTCAGTAACTTAGGGCCTCATCAAACCTAAATCCAGCCCTGATTTTATCTCATCATGTTTTCTATGGACTTTGTGTTACACTCTCACATTACTTACATCAACTGTGCATAGTTAAACTGTGGAATTTGGGGGGAAATTGTATTGAATTTGTCTTAATTTGTGGCTCATTTGATAAAATTTGGAAAATCAATAAAAATGATTTGTCCACTCTGAAGAAAAAACAACTATGGAATTTGGACCCACAACATCCAATAATGGCCACCAATATGGATGACTTTAAAAGAGGACTAGAGTAGTGGCATACCTTGGGGTCTCAAATTTCAGTGGCACCTTATGCAGCTTCAAAATTTGGCACTTTCACAGACAGGAAAGAAGAAAAATCTTTATGGAAATTCTGGCCAACAGATTTCAGCACAGAACTAGTTATATCTAGGAGTTTGATGTCCCTGGATGTACAGGAGCAGTCTACATGTATTTCCCACACATTTCTTGGATGTCTTATGCTACTTTACATTTAGAGAGGGGGGGGGGAGAGAGTTAAAAACCCAAGTGACAAATTTTGTTTTCTTGTGAGTGCTTTATAAAACCAGTATCTTAAAATGTGCAACAAATTTAATCTACATGTATAAACTTCCTTGTTGTTAATTTATCTGTATAGCAAATCTATAGCCAGCACACTGCAAAACCCCTCACTGTTATGCAGATGTTTAATTTACACTTAGAAAATGTTACATCTGCTCTGCATTTCCGAACACAGTAACACTCTGGGGACTGAGTCTGAAGTGAGCACCATTTACTTAAAGAGAGAAAACTATTACAAGAAACAAGAACACAATCCCACTGAGGTAAGTTCTTCCCACTTTAAATACATTCATAGATGCATTCATGTATTTCTGTGGGAGAAGGCAAAATCCCTGAAGATCTTGATTAAACTATGAATAGAAGGTGCACGGCGTTGGAGTAAAGAGGTTTCTGAGTCATGCAAATGTACAGTTTGTACACCATCCTTGGAGTAACGGAGGTGAGATGATTCATGATGATACAACCACCATAACTAATCATAGTAATGTTGTAGCATGCATATGAATAGATTTTCTAAAATTTTTACAGACAGTTGAAACTGATATTTATTGTATGTTACACAAATTTAGCATTTCCTGTTTAAAATTTCAGCTTCAGTATTTTGAAACAAGGTACATCCACATTTTTTATTCTTTTTATTCTGAAGCTTTTGATGTTATTGGATGAGAGATGGTGAATCCTTTGAAGAAGGGTTTGTATCATCTTTGCATAAGTAATTTCTGACATATCTCCACGTCTGCTAAAAGGAAAATAGGTAATGCAAGCTGGCGTTTTAAAAAGCATGTAACTGCATGTTTTCATATTTATTTTTTTCATACGCTATTACGGAGGCTGTTGAAGAGAAAGTGTAGTAGCCATTATATTTTCTAGGGATGAAATGCACTTCTTAACTACATTCACAGCCATGTTTTGGAACACTACATAGAGTAAGTTATTTATAAGATAAATGCAACAAATTGTGTACTTGGAACCTGCACTGTACATAAGGATCATTTGTCAGTCCTTCAAGCAGAATGTGAGTGCCCACACTCTACATGGGGTAATAAAAATGATAGTTGCTGAAGGCCCTGAATGTGCATCAGAGCTGTGAAAGGAAATGATATGTGGACTTGGAGAGAACACTCATCTCCAATTCCAAAGTACATGACATCTGGGAAGTAGAGAAAAGTCTACTACACCATGCTTCTAGTAGTCACATTTGCTTGTACCTCCAGATGGTGTGTCCCCTGTCCCCTCATCTGCCCCCCCCCCCTGATCTTGGAAAACAGTCTGATATTAGCCTTGAGTAGAAACTGGAATTTTGATAAGGGAATTATTAGCAGGATGGAAAATTCCTTGTTCTGCTCCTGGTCAATGTATCTTATTTAAAACTGAATAAGAACCACTGGGGTTCACAGTGGGAAGAAAATACTAAAAACCAACTGACTACCATAAGAAACGTGTATATTCGGCTATGACTTGATATTAATCAAGTCATTGGTTGCATGTATGAAATACAGTTAAACTTTGGAACTACTCTCTGGTAACTCAAACACAATATTTTCCCACAGACACATCCCCAATGATGACTCACTAATCCACTGAGATACCGCTTGAGTTGTTCCTTCTCTCCTTTTCATATTGTATGAATAAAAAGAAAGGAGCCCTATGGGGTGTATGGCTTTCATGAGATTTGGGTTGTATGCATGTGCTGAACTCAGTGCTTTATCTGCCACAGAGCCACAGCAACTTACATAATGACTCTATAATGAGCTCCTCTTTGGGGGAGAATCGGTCTCTTTTTTCATTTTACAAAAAATTAGTAAAAATGAAGCACATTGAAAAGATTTGCATATTGCAAGAATTGACAATACTGTCTGCATCTAGGGGTAGTCAATATTTTGTATGATGCTCTGTCTAGGAACATAGAAAAATAAAGATCTGCCTTATGCTCACTCACATAACTGATCTATCTAGCTCAGTATTGTCTACCCACTGATCTTCAACTGGCCAGGACCTACTACTCAGTCATGACCTGATCCAGGAGCACTACCACCATGCAGTTGTAAGGTAACACATGAAGAGATGGGTACCCAAATGCATGTTTCAGTTAAAAGTGGGTCCTGAGTCTGAAAAGGCTGAAGATAACTGGTCTACACTTATTGGCAGCAGATGTCCAGGATCTCAGGTAGCTGTCATACTTAGCCCTTTCTGGAGATGCTGGAGATTGCACCTGGGACCTGTTGTAGTCAAATCAGATGAACAAGAGCTATCAATCACAGGCAAGAGAGGACTCAGTCATGTTATCCCTGGCTTGCAGTTGGAATAATACAGCACAGCAAGTGAAGCATCACACTATTCTACTAATAAGGGGTGTTGGGGACCAATTTCCTAAACCAGTAAAAATGCCCACCAATTCATTTTCACTGGGCAAGGCAAGGTAACAGCTCTGACAGTCTGATTTAGGAAATTATTATGAAGCCCATTTTAGAATGATGGTATAATACATTTGAAAAACCTCAGTTAAGTGCAAGATTAATGAGGTTGCAGCATGGCCATGTACAGCAAATGCATGTATCATAGAAGAGCTTGGCATTTTGTCAAGTGTACATTTTGTGGCAAGCTTGGATCTGTTGCTTCACAATGACTGCAGCAGAGCATTCTCATTTCCATATAGTGTAGATGCCATCTTTCACAAGGCAGTGTAGAAAAATTACACACATTGAAAACTTACTTGCAAAATAAATAACAGAGCAGTCAATATTAGGTGAAAACAGATATATTGTTATTATAGCTGTTACTGTATTCTAGATGTTGTTTATTTGATATTTTAAGGAGTCCACAACACCATCTCTTGCGAAAATCTGTTCACACTTGCATTTGTCTTCCAGAACTGAAATAATTCAAGAAAGACAAACCTTGCACTGTATTCATCGGTTCTTATTTTAAAAAGAGAGAAATAAAATGGTGTGGGAAATGGATAATGTTGCTGTTAACTGTGGAAATCCAATAATATTTTATCATATGACATAGACAGCAATGGAGACAGAAGGCACAATTCTGCTTTAAAGCCCCCATCATAATTACAACCCATGTTCTTTATGGTCAAGAAAAGAAAATGGAAAACCACACAATGGTTACACAATTCATTTTAGAGGGTTTCCAAGGCAATATGGAACTACAGCTGGCTCTCTCTATTCTCTTCCTGCTGTTGTATGTCATTACCTTAATAGGAAATATTGGAATGATAACCATCATCACTACTGATGGCCAACTGCAAAGTCCTATGTACTTTTTCTTGAAAAACTTATCCTTCTTGGATGTCTGCTACTCTTCAGTCATCACTCCTAAAGCCATGCTGAGTTTTGCTACTGGAAACAAGGCCATTTCCTACAATGAGTGTGCCACTCAAATGTTTTTCTTCTCTCTCTTTGGGACCACCGAATGTTTTTTCCTTGCTGTGATGGCGTATGATCGGTTCACTGCCATCTGCAATCCGCTGCTTTACAATGTCACCATGTCCAAGAAGACCTGCACACTTCTGGTGGCCATTTCCTACTGTTTTGGCTTTATCAATTGTTGCACACAAACAAGCCTTTCATTCAGCTTGTCCTACTGTGAGCCAGGGGAGATCAACCAGTTCTTTTGTGATGTCCCAGCAGTCATGAAGGCCTCTTGCTCAGACACTTTTGTAAATGAAATGGTGCTTTTGGGGATGTGTGGATTTATCATTATTATCACCTCCACAACTGTCCTAATCTCCTATGGCTACATAGTAGCCACAATCCTGCGCATACCTTCGGTGGAGGGGAGACACAAGGCTTTCTCAACCTGTACTTCTCATATCATGGCTGTAGTCTTGTTCTTTGGGACAGCTTTCTTTATGTACGGCCAACCTGGAGCTCTCGCTTCTCCTAACCAAGGTAAAGTGGTATCTGTCTTCTACACTATTGTCATCCCAATGTTGAACCCATTAATCTACAGCTTGAGGAACAAGGAGGTCAAAGATGCCTTGGGAAGACTGTTGAAAAGGTTCGCTTTCACCCAGTAAACACTATATTATATTTTTATGGTTGGCAGTGCACAACAATCAGTTTCTCCACTTGAGGCAAAATGGGAAGTGCTGCTTTGCCCTGTTGCTCTTGCCAACCCCACCGCCTGCTCCTCCTGCTGCTGCTGCTGTGAGCCCTGCTATATCCACTGCTGGCAGAGAAGCAGCACTGCTACCTGCATCAATTTGGGGCAAGAGCATGGCAATTTCAGATGAGATATTGCCACCAATGGACACACTCTTGCTCAAAATTGGTGCTGCTGGCAGCGGCGCTTCTCTGCCACTGGTGGAGGTGATGGGGCGGGCAGGCAAGACAGCCATGGGCATGCTTCCACCTGAAGCAATGCTATAATGGCTTGGGTCTCTCCCACACGCAAAAGATGACTCCGGCAGTAAATTATTTCAGATTTATTAGTCCAATAACAAGCCCCGGGTCAGAGCTCAACTAATCTTCGTCATCCTCAGAAAGCACAGTTGCCGGAACTAAGCCCCTTCCCCCCAAGAGGAAAACCCCCACCTCCTGTTCCTTTTCTTTTCACACTTCTCGTAAAGTCTTGTGACCCTACGAGATTTTGGAGAGAACACTGCCGGTGTTCCTGAGTCTGAGTCATTATCGGAGCTGACAAGCTGCATACTTTCACTCTGGCTCTCCCTTCCATTACAGTGGTACCTCAGGTTAAGAACTTAATTCGTTCTGGAGGTCTGTTTAGCTAATGAGGCCTCCTACTGCTGCCACACCGCTGCCGCATGATTTCTGTTTTCATCCTGAAGCAAAGTTCTTAACCTGAGGTACTATTTCTGGGTTAGCGGAGTCTGTAACCTGAAGCGTCTGTAACCTGAAGCGTGTGTAACCCAAGGTACCACTGTATCTCTGTGCTCAGAGATCAAGTTACTGCTGTTCTCTGCTGCTTCTCCCTCCCCCCTATATTCCATTCTTCACTGCTCTCTCTCTCTATGTTATCGTCCTTCCCTGTCAGTGAAGGAGCGTAACTGACAAATGGCCTCAACCCAACTGAGAAGGCTCCAACAATAACATAGGTAGTTGAATATGAGTCAAATTTTGAGGGTGACAAAGTTGCTTTGTGGGACACCTCTTTTTCTTCCAGCAACATTTTCTTTTCTTTTCTGACACTGCAATCTTTCTGTATTGTGTAGCAGGGGTGTGTGTGTGTGTGTGCGCGCGCGCTGGGAATGTGTCTGAGCCATGCTACAGAGCCTGGAAATAGTTCATTGGTTGCCCAGGCAATGTGATGGTATCTTCCAGCAACTCTCTGTGAGTGTGGGCCAAGTATGTTTATCTGTAAATATAGACACACAGGCTAAACATGAAAGCTTTTACACTGTTTAACACACTTTCTGTCTTTAGTGTTGATTAGGCTACCTCGACTTGTTAGTAATACATTGTTAAGCTAGCATCTTCATATGTCAAAGATTGCCAACGTGCAACCTTCTAGATGTTGTTGGACTGCAACTCCCATTATCCCCAGCCAGCATGACCAATTGTCAGGGATGTCCAGAGTTGCTGACCATGAATAATAAATGCTTCAGATTGTTCATTTCCCTGTTCTGTTCTTATTGCCTTTTGAATTGAATTTTGTATATTATTCATATAATAGCATATGCACAATACACTCCACATTTCCTAATATATCAGTACATAAAGAGTACACATTTCATAATATATCAGTACATACCACAATGCATGTAACTTTATTGATACTTTTTAAAATCATGTTGCAGAAATAAAGTACTTTAGATATGTATTATACTTGCAATGAATGTGTTTTTGGAAATAATTTTGCATGTTAATCAGCCTTAAAAAAACAAAAACCCTTTCTATTGAGAGAATCAGGGGGGAGTTTAGTTTTTTAAAAAGGGGGGAGTTTAGTTTTTTAAAAAGCAAAGCAGAAGTAGAAGCAGCTCAGGCATATGAGGCTGTTTGATGGACATTTGTGGACAAAGCTCAGTTACATCAGGACTTCTAAAGACCATGTATAAATCACACTTAAAACTCATTCCTCCCCCATCCATTGAAGTATCTCTTAAATTGTGGTATGTTTTAATCTTACAAAACAGAGCACATCTGGAAGCTAGTCCCACTAGGAGCTCTTGCATCTTGAAGCTTAGTGGTTCTCAAGAGATTGAGCTTGACTATGCAAGCAATTGTCCCCCAAGTGTTATGGGACTATTTACACATGCATTAACACTGAACACAGAAAGAACATTGTCATGACTCACTTGTTTCAGAGGTAGGTGCCGATATATACTTTTAAGTGAAACAGAACAAAAGCTAATGTTTTCATTTCATTTTGATTCAAAATCTGACCCAATGGAGAATGAAATATCTGCTGTGGTAGGAGAGGAACATGGCACATTGCTCCAATGGAAGAGAGAGGAGGGCACTAGGTCCTTGAAAGCTGAATTAGTTCAGGGGGAAATGATCCAAAATATTTAAGAAGCAGGTTACTGGGACACCATAAAATGCTGCCACACTATAGGAAAAACTTTGAATGGTTGTTTCCTTAGAAGGACCATATTTTCAAGCAGTAGGTTGCTTATCTCTGCAACTAAGTGAACATTTTCACACTTTAAAGGAAGTAACTGCAAATCAGCTTGACCTTGTAATGTAATCAGAAACACTTCATATTGTAAGAAATATCAAAGCAAGGTGAAACAACAACAAACTTGACAAGGTAAGAGTTGTACATAAGGAATTGGAGCATTTTGATAATGATGGTGAGCTGAGATCAATAAGAAAACCTCAGATTTATTCATTTTTACATATAGTGTAATCTGTTTTTATTAACTAATAATACATGCATACATTTTTTCATCCCTCACATTTCTTCTTCACAGGACAGTCTCTCATGTTGCCACAGTGGTTCAGTGGTAAAGCATGCCTAGGCTATCACCAGCATCTCCTCATAGGCCTGAGAATATCCCTTGCCCCAAACCCTGGAGTGTAGACAATACTGAGTTACATGAACCAATGTTCTAACTCAGTTATTAAAGTCAGGTGTCCATCTCCACTATTCAGATGCCAGTAATGTGTGTGTGTGTGTGTGTGTGTGTGTGTGTGTGTGTATAAGATAAAGGTACCCCTGCCCGTACGGGCCAGTCTTGCCAGACTCTAGGGTTGTGCGCCCATCTCACTCAAGAGGCCGGGGGCCAGCGCTGTCCGCAGACACTTCCGGGTCACGTGGCCAGCGTGACAAGCTGCATCTGGCGAGCCAGCGCAGCACACGGAAACGCCGTTTACCTTCCCGCTAGTAAGCGGTCCCTATTTATCTACTTGCACTTTGACGTGCTTTCAAACTGCTAGGTTGGCAGGCGCTGGGACCGAGCAACGGGAGCGCACCCCGCCGCGGGGATTCGAACCGCCGACCTTTCGATCGGCAAGTCCTAGGCGCTGAGGCTTTAACCCACAGCGCCACCCGCGTCCCTATATATATATATATATATATAATTACTTGCAATGAATGTGTTTTTGAAAATAATTTGGCAAGTCAATCAGCCTAAAAAACCCGCAACCCTCTCTGTTGAGAGAATCAGGGGGGAGTTTACTTTTTTTAAAAAGCAAAGCAGAAGTAGAAGTAGAAGCAACTCAGGCATAAGAGACTGTTTGATGGACATTTGTGGGCAAAGCTCAATTACATCAGGACTTCCAAAGACCATGTATAAATCCAGTTAAAACTCATTCCTCCTTCTGTTCTCCGTATCCTTTCCTGCCATCAACTGCATCTGGCTACTAAGCAGTTGGATTGTGCATAAACCATAACACCTCAGCAGCTGTGTGAATGGCTAGGAAGGGCTCTTTATAATTGTCCAGTAGCACCTTAGAGACCAACTAAGTTTGTTCTGGGTATAAGCTTTTGTGTGCATGCACACTTCTTCAGATACACTGAAACAGAAGTCACCAGACCCTTATATATAGTGAGAGGGTGGAGTGGGTTTTTTCTCAGAAGGGTAGTATGAGATGGGTGATTGACTCAATGGGTATGGTAAACCTGTTGACGACTGTTAACGACTGCAATTAGTCCTACAATTTTGCAAGGGATAGTATGCACATAAAAGCTTATACCCAGAACAAACTTACCGTAGTTGGTCTCTAAGGTGCTACTAGACAATTCTTTAATTTATTTCGACTGCTTCAGACCAACATGGCTACCAACCTAAATCTAGATTAGAATATGTAATGGAAAGCCATTGCTTCAAAATATTTTAATGGTAACTAGCTGATTGCCTGGTGTGCTCTGGTCCATGGGGTCGTGAAGAGTCGGACACGACTAAATGACTAAACAACAACAACAACAGCTGATTTCCTCAGTACACAACAGGTTGATTTTCTTTTAGACCGGTACATGCTGTTGGACCCCTTTTTGTTTTGTGACCCATCTCTTTTTTTAAATCAGTTTGTTTTTCTTCATTTTAATGATACTGTTTTACTTGTTGAGCCATATATACGTCCCTTGCTTGTTTATGTCCTTTTTCTATTAATTCATGTAACTGCACTCTTATTTCAAGCAACTTCTCAAAATTTGAATTAACCCTCTGTTTGACTTTCCCCTCCTCATATATGTTTTAATATCAGGCAGTCAGCAGGGGTTTCCATGGATGTTTATTGTACTGATACATATTGAACTTTTCATTTTCTATGCGGAGAAGTCCTCCGCTGTCCCGGGGTTTTTTTAAAATGCTGGGGGTGGGAAGAAAAGCCCTTGTCCCCCCCCCCAGCCTTCAGAAGAGGTCAGGGGACAGACTGTCCCCGGACCTGGTCTGAAGGCGGTTTCCATAGGAACGCATTAATTGATTTTCAATGCATTCCTATGGGAAACCGTGCATCGCAAGACGAAAAACTCGCAAGACGAAGAGACTTGCAGAACGAATTAATTTCGTCTAGCGAGGCACCACTGTATAAGACATCCATCAACGGAATGGAAGCAATGATATTTTTTTGTGATTCTCCCCTCTCCCTGCAGCCCACACACCAATAAATATGTTCCAGAGCATCAGGTAGATATAGTAACACAAGAGGCTGCAGGAGAGCAGAAACTCATTGAAAAATTATTCACTCCCCATTCCAGTGGGGAGTTTTCCAATCAGCTGTATGACATTGCTGGATGAATCATCATTATCACCATCTCATTACTTACCTTTATTGATGTCTTTAGGACTTAAAAACTCCTAATAGTTTCTGGATTGCGGAGCTTTGTTGATTATTGTAATTGCTTAATCATGAATCAATACTGGTTATGAGAATTCCTTAAACCTCGTTTGTTCTGAGGTACTTAAGCTTCACTGAAATGTCAGTAAGATGCAATCCAGTGGTTCCTAGCTGATTTTGGGCCACTGCCTCATTGGTTCCATAAACTCATCCCCAGTACACCATACCCTATGAAAATCATCATTCAGAACTGTGGTTTCCATGATCCATTAAAGAAGATGATAATATAATAAAATCAAAGCAGTAACAATTAATTTCACATTTATGCAAAATCTAGTTAAGACCGGTGTGTATTTGTTGTTGTTAGCCCAATGATGCATTCTCTTTATGTCACTTTTCTTGCTTTCTTTTTTTTAAAAAAACAATCAAATTAAAACTATTTAGTTTAATTAATTCAACAACATTATTCAACTTGATCCAGTGATACCACCTTTTCAAAGTTTGATAGTCATTTACGCCTCCAGCATCCACCTGTCACCCCTTGGCTTTTAGTGGTAATATAGGGAATCCCCCACAACGGGCAGTACTACTACCTACTTTAGGAACCACTGTTGTGTAATCTCTCTCTCTCCCTTTGTATTCCCATTCAGGTTTCTGTTACTATAATTTTACAAAGCAGCTATATTTCTGATGCAAAGTAGCAGTAGAGTGCTCCTATGCCTTTGGCATCCACACTGTGAGGATTGCATACTCAAGCTCTCATTTCTGAAGTTTGCAAATACAAAAACAAGGATATTTGAAGACATCTTTCCCTGACTTTCCACCTTGTCATAACTAAGCTATGGGAAACCATACTGAGGTCACTGAATTTATATTGGTGAGCTTTAAGGGTCAGCCACAAATGCAAATAGTTTTCTTATTGCTTTTTTTGCTGATGTACACCATCACTCTGGTGGGAAATGCTGGTATGATCTTAATCACCAGTTCCGATTCCAAACTCCATACTCCTATGTACTACTTTCTAAAGAACCTGTCCTTCTTGGATATTTGCTACTCTTCAGTCATCACTCCCAAAGCCATGGTGAGCTTTGCAACAGGGGACATGGCCATTTCCTACAATGGATGTGCAACCCAGATGTTCTTCTTCTCTCTCTTTGGAACCACAGAGGCCTTTTTCCTGGCTGTGATGGCATATGATCGATTCATTGCTGTCTGTAGCCCACTTCTCTACCATACCATTATGTCCAAGAAGAGGTGTATGTGTCTTGTGTGCATCTCTTACTTCTTTGGTTGTGTCAACTGCTGCACCCAAACTGGGTTTACATTTAGTTTGGCATTTTGTGGCCCAACTCATGTAAACCACTTCTTTTGTGATGTCCCAGCGGTCATGAAGGCCTCCTGTTCAGACACATTTGTAAATGAAATGGTGCTCCTTGTAGTCTGTGGTCTCATCATTGTGACCACAGCCATAATTGTCCTAGTATCTTACATTTACATTGTTACTACCATCTTGCACATACCGTCTGGCAAAGGGAGACACAAAGCTTTCTCAACTTGCACTTCCCATTTGATGGCAGTAAGCTTGTTCTTTGGGACAGTTTTCTTTATGTATGCCCAGCCTGGGGCCATGTCCTCTCCCAATCAAGGAAAAGTGGTGTCCGTTTTCTACACAGTTGTCATTCCAATGTTAAATCCGATCATCTATAGCCTAAGGAACAAGGAGGTCAAACAGGCTCTGATCAGGCAACTCAAAAGGAAAGGCTTTGTCTGTTGATACAGAGTTTTTAGCTGTGTGTCTACTCAATAAGTAAGTTTTACTGAGCACAATGGGACTTATTCCAATGTAAGAATGTATAGGATCCCTAGTTTGGCCTGCTATATTATAAGACTACCAATCTGAAGGAAAATTTGGATTTTTCCTGCTTGACAAGAAGAGCTCCCATTACATGCAAAGCACATGACACAAGAAAGGAGTTCAAATGAATCCATGCCAAATATATCAAGGAAACCAATCCAATGCAACACTCAAGAAAGTTTGCCAATCTAGACACAAAGTGAAGTCAATATATGCATATAACTAAAGAAGCAGGTTTCTAAAAACCATTTTCCTTTGCCTTCCCCACCCCTTTTATTGCAAACACACTCACTACTAAAAAATAAAAATAAATAAATAAACAAACAAATAAATGCTGTTGTGGCCTGCTTCTATTCATAGGCTGCTGCTTGGCACCAACAGAAGAATGCCTCTCAGAGGGCAATGTGCCCATTTGCTCAAAAAATGTTAGTCACAACTACTTTGGGAGGGAGGGAAGTAAACTAACAGGGCCTTACTTCTGAGTAGAATTCCTCAGATTGCCCTGTAATTCAACAATTTAATTGTGTCTTAAAAATCTGGGACAAGCGAAAGATCTAAGGTCAATGCATTTATTGGATATGCCTAAAACAGTATCCTTTGAGGCTTAGTCTTTAATCTGGCACCTAACTTTATATATGTGTGTGTGTGTGTGTGTGTGTGTGTGTGTAACAGAATGTTACATCTGAAGTCAATAATATCTGAATAGGGATACTAAAATTTCTTTTGTTCAAACATGATGCATTAGACATATATAATATGTTTATTATATTATATGTGTGTGTGTGTGTGTATATATATATATGTATACATACACATGTATATATATATATATATGTGTGTGTGTGTATACATATACATATACATATATATATATATATATATATATATATATATATATGTAGGTATATACATATATCTACAACATACACCATGTACGTTTAATTGCTCTCAAGCAGTTAACTTTATGACACTGTGGGGAATAAATTAACCCTCCGGTCTGTAAGAATTCATTTATTATAAATTCTTTCAAATTCTACTGTTGAGGCTTTCTTGCAGAACAACTTGATGGGGTTGGACTTTCTGCCTACCCCATTACCTCTTGGGTAAGTTTTATCATTTCACATTTTGACAACTCTGCTAAAGCAGGTGGGGCTGCTGACTTATTTAATGAGTTTGATGCAGAGATTTGGCTATTCTGAAATCTGCTGTTGTTTTTTCCAGTTCAGACTGTAAACCTAACCCCATTTATCTGGGTGCAAGCTTCACTGAATTCAAGAAGTCTTTTATTTTATTGCAAAAAATGTAGGGTTCCCCCCCCTTAATCTTTACATCAGTTTTAACACCATGGCCACGGCTTTATAAAGATTCCCTATATTCTTCCACCCTTTCAATGCTAATTGTTCCAAGCATTATGCTATTATTTGTATTGTAGCGATAGAACATGTTCTGGGTTCAAAGAAATGACTAAGTGGTATGTTGGCAGTACCGTGCATTTTATTCTGGTTATGCCTAATGGCCAACAGAGCAATCCTATGCATGTCTTCTCAGACGTAAGCCCCACAGCGTCCAACCACAATTAATTTCAGGTGCCTGTGTATAGGATTGCTGCCTATAGGAATAAAACTGAAGCAACCCGAATAATTTAACATGGAAATAAATTAAACATGGTGCTGGCTTTGTATTTGGGTAGAAGATGCCTGGGTGAAATAATTTGCTTTATGAAAGTGGAGGCAGATGGGGAAGGGAATGTTTAGTATGAGTTACTGCACTGAAGCGGAATTTGTGTGTGTAGTTAGCCACTGAGTTGAAAGAGAAGATGTAAGGATCAAGAAAGACATTTTTGGGAGCTGGAGCCATATCCGCCCTTCAGATGTTAAGGCGAGAAAAGTGAATTTAAGTCCTAGCCAAACTGGTGTCTTCCATATGTTGTGTGACACTCCCTTCCCAAATTCCCAACAGCCCCAGCCAACAACATCTACAGAACACCATGACAAGCTCTAATAAGAAAATAACCCCCCCTTTCTTTCTCTCTTTTTCTTTCACTAAATGATGGAAATATATCAATAGTGATGTAAAAGGAAGGCATAAAAATTAAATTGTCAAAAAGAGAAAAATAAACGTAGACAGCACAAAGGAAAATATAATTCAACCACATCAGAATGATTTGATGAACTTATTACTAACAGTGGCTGGCCAAATGTTTCCGAGGAGCCAACTAACAAGGGATGTTTGCTGTGTATCATTAAAATGTTTTAATTTATTTCAGGAACCTATCATGGACAACTGCAGCACAGCCTCTGAGTTCATCCTGGTGGGGTTCAGAGATCTCCCAGAGCTGCAAGTAACATTTTTCGTCACTTTTCTGGTGCTGTACATCACCACAGTGATGGGGAATGGTGGTATGATTGCTGTCATAAGTGCTGACTCTCAGCTCCACACCCCTATGTACTACTTTCTCAAAAACTTGTCTTTCCTGGACCTCTGCTATTCCTCCGCCATTGCTCCAAAAGCTCTAGTGAATTTTTTCGAGGAGAAGAACATCATCTCTTATGAGGGCTGTGTGGCCCAGTTGATGCTCTTCACCATCTTTGTTACTACAGAAGGATTTCTTTTAGCAGTCATGGCATACGATCGCTTCATGGCCATTTGCTACCCACTCCTTTATCCAACTAAGATGTCCAAGAAGTCTTGCCATCGTCTGGTGGCCACTTCCTATGCTTGCGGTTGTACAAACGGAGTGATTCAAACAAGTGTCTCTTTCCATTTGAGATTCTGCAACCTCAGCAAAATCAACCACTTCTTCTGTGATGTCCCTGCTGTCATGAACGCTGCCACTACATACACATATCTCAACGAAGCTGTGATGTTCTCCCTCTGCAATGTTATCATTGCCATCACCACAGTGGTGATATTCACCTCCTACACTTACATTCTCTCCACCATTCTCAAGATTCAATCTGCAGAGGGCAGGAGAAAAGCATTTTCTACCTGTGCCTCTCACATAACAGCAGTGACCATCTTTTATGGGACAGTCTTCTTTATTTATGCTCAGCCTGCAGGCATGTCCTCCCCAGCTCAAAGCAAAATTGTCTCTGTGTTTTACACTCTTGTCATTCCAATGCTAAATCCCCTCATCTACAGCCTTAGGAACAAAGATGTCAAAGCAGCTCTAAAAAGGACTCTGGGGAAAAAGAGGCTCTTTTCAATGAACAGATAAAATCTGACAAAACCTTATGGGGGTGTTAAATCCCATAAGCCAAGCCAAACCAGAAGAAAATCTACATTTGTAATCAGAACTCTCAATATTCTCTTTTACCCAGGGAAAAGTCCTATGGCAAGAATCATTGGGATGACCAACATGGAATCTCTTGCTCAGCTAGCTAAGTGATGCCTTAGCTAGTACTGAACTGTTCTGAACATACACCAGCATAAGTTGCTCATCCTAGCTGGTTGAGTGGAAGCTGAGTAAACTCAAGTCTGGTGTAAGCAGTGGCCGTGCCGGGTTATTTTGCACCCTAGGCAAGGCACCTCCCCGCCCCAAAATTGCTAACTTCTATTTTTAAAAACAGATGTTTTATAGAAAAAAGAAATAAAAAAATTGTCCAGTGGCACCTTAGAAACCAGCTAAGTTTGTCCTTCGTATAAGCTTTCGTGTGCATGTACACATCTTCAGATACACTGAAACAGTAGTCACCAGACCCTTATATATAGTGGAAGTGTGGGGTGGGTTTTTTTTTCAGGAGGGTAGTAGGAGATGGGTGATTTACTCACTACCCTCCTGAGAAAAACCCCACCCCACCCTCCCACTATATATAAGGGTCTGGCGACTTCTGTTTCAGTGCATCTGAAGATGCACTGAAAGCTTATACCAAGAACAAACTTAGTTCATCTCTAAGGTTCTACTGGACATTTTATATGTGTGTGTGTGTGTGTGTGTGTGTGTGTGTGTGTGTGTGTGTGTGTACTGCATCAGACCAACACTGCTACCTACCTGAATTGATGTTAAAATTTAAGTCTCTTAAAAGTTTCAGTTTCAGACAAATCTCCGTTTACATACCTTTTCCTTTGCAAATTTGGTCACCAATTTATTCAGGTCAAGTGCTCATGATAGGAGAAATAGGAGCTAAATATTCTGCAAACTTCAAAAAATCCTGATTGCTAGCACAGTACAACTTTCCAGTTGTACCACGAAATGCCAAGTTTTGCATGCCAAGGACTCTGACCAAAGCAATCAAGCATTCCAAGATTTGTCGCCAATACTGTTCATCTTGCCAAATTTTCAACTGGTTTCATCAATTGCTTTTCCTTTAGATGACCACAATTAAAGTTGTCTCCACATTTGCTAGTTTTCTAAATGGTCAGTGTTGCTCTCTTGTGAAGACAGAATTGCTCCAAAGTTCTTGTCTTTGGAGCCTATTTCTTGTAGGTTAATGCATCATGTTTTTTACTGTTCACTAGTGCCCCAGTACACACCCTTGAAGTTTATCGAATGCTTACCTAGAGCAGAGCTTTTAGTGTGGCGCCACCCACACACTGGAATGCACTCTCTGCTTGAAATTAGGGCGGTACAAACAATTTGTTCTTTCAACAACCTCCCTAAGACATTTTTAATCAACTAGGGTTTTTCTTTTCACAGTTGCATTGTTGGATATTGTTTGTGTCCATTTTACAGATGGATTGAATATATTCTTATTGATTTCATTTTGTATTTTGTTTTTCTTTCCTGTTTGTGAACTGCCACAATAGTGTTGAATGGTGGTAGTTTATGAATTATTTTAACTAACTGACTAATCATTAGATGTTGGACAGTCTGGTGTTCTCTGATTCTCTGATTCAGGTTGCAGATTTAGTGTAAGAATTGTCAAATTTAATCTAAAGTGAAATTCAGTTCAAATTTAGAGGTTTATGCTTAGGCAAAGCAGTCAAGGAATTGGGAGGGATGCTGGAATAAAAACACAATTGGGTTAAACTGGTGTTATTTCTTTGGTTGCTGCTGACGATGATTTCCTACAACCATAACCTAAAATTATTTGCCTAAAACTTCCAAGTCTTGGTCATAGCTCAGTGGTAGTGCACTTGTTTTGTACTCATAAAGTTCCAGGTTGAATCCCTGGTATTTCCAGGTAGGGCCAAAATCCTGAAGAACTGCTGCCTGACAGTGTAGATAATACTGAACCAGATGGACCAATAAAGGCCTGACTTGGTAAAAACACAGCTTCATATATTCCCATGCAATTCTCTCAAATGTTGTTGAACACTTAAAGTAGAACACTTTCACTTCAAGTGCTATAAAGTGGCATACATTTTATTCTATGCCCACAACAACAACAACAAAACAGCCAGGACAGCAACACTATGAGGTAGTAGCCTTAGAATGCTTCCAGAATGCCTTTATTTTCAGGCAGGTTTCAATTCCATACCAACACATTCAGATTACACAATTACTATTGACTTGAACAACAACCCACTTCCATACAAGATCAGCATTTATGATAAGGAAAGTGATGCAAAATGCACAGGAAAGTGTCGGACCGCACCTGGTGTAACATGATCTAACTTGCCACCCACCCCCTGCCACAAATCAGAATGAAGGCTTAATAAATAGTCAACATCTAAGTTCCCTGCAAACAAATAAGGATGAATGCTTAAAAAATGGGTCGTCTAGAACCACCTGAGATATTGTTACTGACTGAAGGTCACTGACAAAGTTTCATTATGGAGCAAGAATTCTAACCCTGATCTCCCTGGTACTTTGTTACATCAAATGCTATACTAGACTATGCCCCATTGTCTAGAATTATATTATTATTCAGTTATCAAAATCCTGTAAGTTCAGGATCAGATATAAGACACAAGGTCCAGATGAGGAGGATGGAGAGCCTGGGACCAGCAAAATTGTCCTACTTTGCCTTGTAAAGCATGAAAGCCTAATTGTATTGCCAGGGGTCCCTGACACCCAGGTGAAAGGGCTGGAAACAAATTCTCTGTGAATACAGTGACCGAGTAAACCATAGCAAGGTCCATATGTGAATGTGTCCATTCCTCTACTGAGCAGGGCCCTAACAGCCTGGATGGGTGGGGGAAAATTCCTGCAAAGGCAACAAAGAAGGTGGCTTGTACCTGGTCATCCCCCTATGTACACCAGAGGTGGGCTGGGCACAACCCTCATATCCTTGCCCCTGATTGGTCTCATGGGTGATGTCTGCCCACATCTGGAAGGTTCGGCATGGCTGGTAGTGGGCTGCTGCAGGTGGCTACCCACCGCTATCTACACCGGAAATTGGTGGGGTCTCTGGACCAACCATGGCCATGGTGTGCAGCAAATGCCCACCCCCACCCCGAGCCCCAGGTGAGCAGATATTCTACCAACATTTAATAAGAGCTGCTTTAGATGTCAAGAAACAGTACAAGGTTTGAGTGATATGGCTTTTGATTGCTAACTGGCAGAGCTTTGGGTAAACCACCATCCTTTCACCCTTCAATATGCACACAAAGCAAAGGGTTAAAGTTCAGAAACATGTAAGCACATTGCAGTATTTAACCAAAAGGGGGCCATTTCCAGAAGAACTTTTGTGGCTACTTTTGGATGTGATGTTATTGGATATTTTTACTTGGCATATTGGCAAACTTTATGCTCACTTCTGTGTGTGTTTTTACATACTTATTATTTATCAATATTACTACTGCATTTATTCTTTTGTAATGTGAATCACTTTGGGCACAGCTGTATTTGTGGGAAATGTAGTATATCAATAGACTATGCCTACTATAATGGTTAACTTCAAGCATTAAACACTGACAAACTTGACCTGAACTGTGCTAATACATGTGATTCAATAGTAGAGTTGATGATTATGTTCCAGCTGCTATGACCCGAGGGAACAAGAAAAAAAAGGAGAGGGTCAGAGGAACTTCAAGCAAACTCCCCAAACATTTTATGACTGACTGATCTTGGGCTGCGGAAGAAACAGTATTACCTCACACATCTAGCATGAGTCTCCATGCTTTATGTCCCATCTTTCCTTCACATGCAGCAGACCAGTAATCGAAAGCCTGCAAAGCCACCCAGAGAGACTTTTCTTCTCTACAGCTTTGGAACAACCACAGAAAGACTCGCATTGCTTGCCTTTACAAATATACGTATATATATTTGGGGGTGGAAACTAACAAGTTATCCTGTGGATGTACTGCTATGTAAGTAAACTTTGTCAATAACGATGCCAAATCTTTGCAATGCAGAACAATCAAATGACTCCTTTTTTATATCAGCTAACACTTTACACGATGAATCTATGTGAATTGTTCTTAAAAAAGAGAGAGATGTGCATGAAAGTGGATAATTGATGTATAACGTTTGTTTTAGAATTTTAGAAATCTGAGCAAATGGGATTTTGGTAATGCAAGGCCACTGTTGTGAAATGTCTTCCCACCTACCCATGCCTTTGAATCTCATTTTCATGGGGAGAATTATCTTAAGAACATTTTTTCCAACTTCAGAGAAATGAGGCAAAAATTGCACAAATTGTCTCAAGTATGTACAGAAAGCAGCATTTTAGTTAACCATATGTTGCAACAAGTTGAGTAGTTCTTTCAGATTTTTCCTTCCCTCCTTTTTGTTTGTTAGTGTGTGTGTGTGTGTGTGTGTGTGTGTGCACTCATGTACACGCTTGCACGTGTGGTCCAGGGAGGTCCTATCTAGCTAGTTCAATATCTGGCTATCCCAGCACTTATACAGCCAGGCAGTGGCCGCAGTTGCTGGCTTTCTGCCTAACTGGCTTGCTCGAATTACACTCTGTACAGAGCATTTTTGACTCTGCATACTTCCACCTGTACTGTGGACGAGGAACAAGGTAATAGGAAGGATCTGCTTTTCCATTATTTGTTATAATGTTTTTACGCAGATCAGAGTTGCCTCCTCCCCTGGAAAAAATGTAAGCATTTGTGCCCCCTCTTTCACCCCCCCTAAATAAATCAAAGGCAGAGAAATCTGTCACCCATGTCATCCACTCATTGTAATTAAATGGATGAATCCAATTCATAAAACTGAATAAGAACACCACTGGGTATATTTATCATTGCTTGTCTAAAGCTAACATTACTTAGAAACATAGGTCTATGTGGCACATTGTACACCATTTTGATGGTCTCAAATAAGTAAGTAAGTAAGTAAGTAAGTCCTTCTAGCGAAATGTTGTCAGTACTGACTGGCAGCTCTCTAAGATTTGAAGCAGGAATCATTTACGAGCCCTGCACCAGAGACTGAAGCTGGGAACTTTTGCATACAAAGCATGTGTTCTATAACTGTACTATGGCCTCTTCCAAGTTACACCCCTATGATGAGCTGTAGGTCTTAAAAAGGGAAGTTTATGTTGCTGTACCTTGTCTCTTACAATTCCCTTCTTCTAAAATGATTTACCAGTGCCACTAAGCTTTTTCACTCTCTAGCTCTCTCCACATAAATCCTTTGGTCCCTAGGTCCTACGTGGTGTTTCTCTAGCGAATAACACCTTTCACACACATCAGAAAATCTGGGTTATTTCTGAACATGCTGTCAAGCATTTTCTTCCCTCAGAAGTTAAAATGTTCAAGACTATCACCATACCTTCAGAGAAACCAATGGCTTCTTTCATGCTCATAATCCTTATTGCATTATAATATGTGTTGGCATCTCTGCAGATGCAGAACTGTGCCATTGTTTTCTGACTCAGTCTGGTAAATCTTTATAGACAATGGGATTTTAGCAGATTAAGAAATATGATATGACAAGATGCTGATTTATCTATTAATTTTGAATGTGATTTGGTCTGAATAATATGTATCTATAAAATTGTGAAATCTGAACTTTGAATATTATTACAGCTCTAAACAGCAACAACATATTATTGAGGATGAAATGGGAGAACAGGACACATACATTTATCCTAGTAGGTTTTCCTGGAAACCCTGAATTGCAGATGTCACTATTTACGCTTTTCCTAATTATCTACACACTGACAATAATGGAGAATGTGGTGATCATTGCCTTAATCTGGATGAACATCAATCTTCATAAGCCTATGTATCTCTTCCTGAGTAATCTTTCTTTCCTGGAGATCTGGTATGTCTCCGTCACGGTCCCCAAAATGCTTGCTGGCTTTGTGGCAGAGAAAAGAGAAATCTCTTTTATAGGTTGCATGGCTCAGCTGTACTTCTTCCTGGCTTTGGCATGTACTGAGTGTGTCCTCTTAGCTGTTATGGCCTATGACCGTTATGTTGCCATCTGCAACCCATTGCGCTATCCAGCCATTATGAGTCAAGACCTCTGTGTTCGTCTAGCAGCCGGATCCTGGTTGAGTGGCTTTTTTATTGCCATGGGGAAGGTCTTCTTCATCTCACGGCTGAGCTACTGCGGACCCAACACCATCAACCACTACTTCTGTGATGTTTCTCCACTTCTCAACCTGGCCTGTACTGATATGTCATTGGCTGAGCTCATTGACTTCCTATTGGCCTTACTCATTCTCCTGGGCCCCCTTTCTGTGACAATTGCCTCTTACTTCTACATCATATCCACCGTACTTCGCATCCCTTCAGCCAAAGGGAAGCAAAAGGCCTTCTCCACTTGTGCCTCACATCTTCTGGTAGTCACCATTTTCTATGCTGCCTCCCTTTTCATCTATGCCCGCCCAAAAGCACTCACTTCCTTTAACTCAAACAAGCTGGTGTCCGTTGTCTACACAGTCCTCACACCGCTTTTCAATCCAGTCATCTACTGCTTGAGAAATCAGGAATTCAAGGATGCCCTCAGCAAAACAGTTCATGGACCTTCTCGACGTTAAGCATAAGGCAAAGAACTAAGTAGGTAGATGTTTCTGCATTGAGACAGTTCCAAATACTTATACAGTGGTACCTCTGGTTGCGGACAGAATCCGTTCCAGAGGTCCGGCAGTATCCTGAAGTTTCCGCAACTGGAGGCACCGCTTCTGTGCAGACACACGGTGCGTAGAGCACGTCTGTGCATGCGCGAGCAGCAAAACCCGGAAATATACTTCTGGGTTTGCCGCTTTCACTACCCAAAGTTTACGTTACCCGAGGGTAACGTAAGCCAAGGGTCTACTGCATTTTCTAAATACTAATAATTAGTATTTTTTTTATTTATATCACCCTTAATCCGTAGATCTCAGGGCAGTTCAAAACATAAGATTACAATATAAAAACCAAAAAATACACAGTAAAAATAAGAACAATAACAAACCAATATTTCTCCATTCCACAACACATTTTAAAGGACATCAGATGTTAATCAGCCAAAAGCTTTGTTGAAGAGGATTGTTCTTAAATAAGCTAGGATTATATGGCTTCTTTCCCCCTGAATGTTGGGAGTGACACTAACCTTGCCCAGCAGTCCCTGGAATCTTACATCTAAATATCTAGTAAGCATTAACATGGCGGGGGGGGGGGGGGAGAGTTAAACAAATGCTTTTGGTATCATATAAAAAAAAAGTTGTTCAAAACTGGTGTGATAAATTCTTGGAGCTGCAATATATGCATTTTATTTGAGATGAACATTACAAATTGCTGAGAACCAATGTATATTATTATTATTATTATTATTATTATTATTATTATTATTATTATTATTATTATTTCCATATAGTTCCAGGCTAGGATATGCAGAAATCAGCAACAACACTAGGTAAGTTTTTGGATATGCAGCTGTATTTCAAACCAAGTGTTTTGAGGTCTAATATCTTAAGCTGCATGCTTAAGACATTTCCCAGTATCTGTTGTCCTGCCGCCCATTATATATGTTTGCATCACTCTCTTTCTCCTACACTTTGTTTTTCCATAAGTATGTTTTAGTGATGGGAAGCACCTTATTCTGCTCTTAGGCTGGATTCAGGACTGTACTTTATAATTAAAGCTATTTTCTTAAAGGATCGGCTGCGGAGGTCAATTCTTTGCTTATTCAAGCATCAAGCTGGTATAGATTGTTCTTCCCCCTCTGTATTTTACTTTCACAACAATCATATGTGGTAAGTTTGACTGAGAGCCTGGGTCCGTGAGCTTCATAACTAATTAGGGATTTGAACCTTTTTCTTGCGTGTCGAGGTCCCCAGGGCCACCCCAATAACTCACACATCACACCAAAATTTTTGTTTAAGGTTTTTGGCATAATTTTGGCCACAACTTTATTAAAATACAAAAATGTGGTTGCTTAGGCATTGGTTGCGACTAGCTGTCCCCACCGTGGGGGACAGTCTGACATTATGCACGCCTGCGAAAGTCAGAAAAGGGGAATATACGTGTGGCTAGCGACGGAGCAGGGAACCTGCCCTCAGGCCACCCCAAATGCAGCCAGGAGCTCTTGCAGTGGCCTGAGCCCCCTTGACAGGGTGGGCAAGGAATTGTTAGCCCCCGATTCCTTTAACAGAATCCCTTGCAGCAGCAACATTAGAGGGGCAGGCATAGCCAATCCATGCCCTTCAACCAACCAAACCATAAACTAATGCCTAACCGCAACCTTACAAGTTTCTGACGATTTGCTACGCAGTAGGCAAAAACCAAATGGCCCCAGCCAATGAGCCAGATGGACAAAATTCCTACCGGGCCCCTGCCTCAAGAGCAGACAACCCCATGACAGGCATAGCAAGGTCAAGCGAACAACCCTAATTCTAGGGGGGGGGGCAGGCAATCTGATGCACGGGCGAAAAGAGGAAGCCCTAGCCTCGTGCAAGGAGTTTTAGCATTTTTTGGCTGTCAAACAACAAATGGCAACATTAACTTCTTCCCAACGACAAGGGGAGCCCAATTGCATCAGTGGTCAACGGTCAATTAGCCCGCCATACAACTTTGGAGTGTCCTGGCTGCCCCCACTGCAACACGTGCTCTCCATGAAGGAGAACACGCTTTCCAGGTCCTAGTCCAACACTCTAACCACCACACCACATATCATCAGGGGTTTTATATGTCAGTTGTAAGTCCCTGCTATGCTGAACTCTGCCCGACCATTCTCCTCCTCCTTCAATTATCTGCCCCGGATATTGGCTAAATCAGATCCATAGGTCTGGGAGGACTAAAAGACTCTCCCAGGCCTCCTTCATCCTTGCTTTCATGAATGATAGCATCCTAGGAGCAAGGGGCATTGTCAGTGCATTTTCTAGAAGAAGAAAACATTTCCCAGAGTCACTGGGATGCTTTCGTGGCAAGTAGGAGGATGGCTCTCAACTTTCCTTTGGGTGCCCCCATCCATCTGAAGTGAGACAGATGGTGTCAACATAGGAGAAGGCTTTCTTATTAGAGTTTAGAGATGAAGGTGTTAGGAAAGGGCTGTGACTCAGTGGTAGACCATCTGCAGAACCCAGGTTCGATCTCCAGGGCAGCAGATGGTCACAGAGGAGGAGGCTTTTACAACTGTGGCACCCACTGAGAGGTTTGGGTTAGTACTTTGTTCCAAGTTTTTTTTAGGAGTTTGTTCCTAAACAAGTGCAGCAACTCAAGGGAAGGAGAAAGGAAAAGGCTGCCAAAGGGACATAATAGAAACCTTCCTATTGCTGTTTTGTGGACAGATCTCTGAAAGACTCAGCAATGGTGTGATTTTCAGCCCAGCCTGACTATATCAGTTTCTGCATTGATCTCCTCTGCCCTCTTGCATTTGTGACCATCATCACTACTCATCATGAGCAGCAGTGCCCGTATATCAGTGGAGAAATAATTTTCTCTTTTTGATTATATTTTTCTTTTCAATTTTCTTGTAACTTTTTGTCTGAACAAGTTTTTGGGAAGATAGAAATTCTTTCCATTGTTTCTTCATCTCTCCTGTGTAGGTAAACCTCAAAATTAGTATCTGCAAGTATTTGCAATGTTTTCATTATTTCACATGTGCATTTTTATGATTTGTAAATGGTAATCCAAATTTGTAATTTGGATTAAAGATGCACTTCTCATTTTCTATGCATGACAAACAATATTTGGTTTTGAAGTAATGCACTGTTGTTGTTTTGTTTGCAGTTCTGTTCCAGTTAAGTATATTTTAAAATAAGGGTTTTGTGTGCTAGTATCATTTAGGACAGCTTTCTGAGATCAGTAGTTTTCACCAACGGAACAGAACTAGGTGTACTTATTAGTTCAAGAGCGAATATATAAAACCATTCACCAAGTGGTAAATTTACTAGGATAAAAGAAGATGAGATTAATTTTTGGAAGCAGTTTGTTTGTTTGCTTAAATTCAGTTGTTTCAAGATTATATTTAGAAGAATTTAAATTTGACTTTGGTGAGGTTAAATCAGTAAATGCCGCTGAATTTATTTTTGGTAGCATTGATTTTTTTTTGCTGTTGCTAGACATTATCTTTTTTAATAACTCAGTTTTAAAATATTGTTCAGAAGGTTGTCTTATTTAGCTGTGAGGTTGTTTGAGATCAGATGTAAGTTCTCCTGAGTTTGGTGTGACTTCAAATTAATTGAGTATAGGATTGCAGCCTGACCACATATTCCTATGTGGAAATTCCTATAAGAATCAAGTCCTATCTGATTCAATATACTATTATGATAAATCAATATTTTATTGCAGAATGTTTATTACTCAGTTTCCCTTGACATATTAAAATGGAAGGGTATTATATTCGATATTTTAAATGGGTGGACAGATGATGAAATATATGTGAGGTATCTGTTGTTGTTGTTTAGTCGTTTAGTCGTGTCCAACTCTTTGTGACCCCATGGACCAGAGCATGCCAGGCACTTCTGTCTTCCACTGCCTCCCGCAGCTTAGTCAAACTCATGTTCGTAGCTTTGAGAACACTGTCCAGCCATCTCATCCTCGGTCATCACCTTCTCCATATGCCCTCCATCTTTCTTAACATCAGGGTCTTTTCCAGGGAGTCTTCTCTTCTCATGAGGTAGCCAAAGTATTGGAGCCTCAGCTTCAGGATCTGTCCTTCCAGTGATCACTCAGGGCTGATTTCCTTCAGAATGGATAGGTTTGATTATCTTGCAGTCCATGGGACTCTCAAGAGTCTCCTCCAGCACCATAATTCAAAAGCATCAATTCTTTGGCGATCAGCTTTCTCTATGGTCCAGCTCTCACTTCCATACATCACTGCTGGGAAAACCATAGCTTTAACTATACAGGCCTTTGTCGGCAAGGTGATGTCTCTGCTTTTTAAGATGCTGTGAGGTATCTATTATTGAACTTAACAGCCATATTAAAATATATAAGTGAACCAATTTATAGTTATGACAGTGGAAAGTTGGAAGCATCCCTAAAATATGCATAGACTTGTTTGTATATGCATTCCAGTTTGACTGCTGATGTAGGAGAGGACATTTGCAATGTAAATAACTAAACAAACTAAGGATGTTAGTGCACAATGTGAGGTCCTGAGAAAGAAGAATAAATGCAGCAATATCCACTAACTAAAGTATGGGGAGGGGAGCCGTCTAACATCGAGCTAACATTATTTTATTTTTGCAGCTGGGAAGAGAGACAAATGCTTCAAGATGCCCAAAAATCTTGACCAGCTTACTTGGGTAGTGTGAACATTTACTTGAGGGGGATGAGAGTCACCACTGGCTGCTCTGCTTGAGGCTAGCCCTGCAACAAAGTCTTGATGCACCTTCAAGATTAACAAATGTTTGGTGGCAAATTTATGACGGCAAAAGACAGGGGCACAACTCAGTTGGCATGTATTGAAGGGTAATTGTAATAAGTGGGGTTAAAATGGCCAAAAGGTGCAGTCTGTCACCATTCTGAATAAAGGTTTGCAAAATAAGTGCAGTGACCATTACCAGCACCAAAGGGAAATCCCGGTACTACTGAAAATGTCTAATGCTCACCATTTGGGGTTGCAATAATGCATTGGCTTCCTGTCCCACTATGGGTGTTCATTTCTTTAACCATCCCAAAATGATTGTGTTGTCTCCAGTTGCTGTTGCTGTTAATGAGTATACTGTATATATATTTGCTTTTACAGTTATAAAATTT